CCCCTAGCTGGAGGACTGGGCTGTTAGGGGTGTTTTCTTCCTGTATCAGTCGCCAGGTTCAAGCATTGAATGTCTCATGCATTTTCTTTGCTTAGTTAACTTTCATCCCTCGGAGAGACTAGATGCCTGCCTGGCCCTTTGTATCCAGGGTGGGTGGCTCATTGAGAAGACCTGGTCACCCAGGGTCCTTGCTGCTGGGAGGTATCTCTCCTTCTTTGCCTATGGCTTTGGAAGCCTGTAGTTTTAAAAGTCATTGAGCCAGGTTTGGTGGCACATGTTCACCAAGGCAGGAGGATCACCATGAATTTGAGGCCATCCTGGACTATATAATGAGTTCAAGGTCAGTGTGGAGTACCTACCGAGACCCTGTCCCAAAAAAACCAAAACCAAAACAGAAAATCGTTCACTAGATGAACCATTGGAAGGCATCATCTTGCTTCCTACAAGTTTTCCATTCTCAGACTGAATTTGTTTTGGCTGCACTGTGTAAAAATAAACCATTCAAAATAAAAATTCAGATTTTTTTAATATTCAGAGACCTGGTGCTGTCGCACGGCTGCCTCTTGGATCATTGCTGCTGCCCAAAAAGGGAGGCACGTGAGACCCTTGTTCTGCCAGATGACGTGCTTGTGGACTGACTGGTGGATCACTCCTCTGACAGAAGCTTCTGTGGCTCAGTAATCAGGCCCTGCAAGGAAGAGGGACTGAACAATATAAGGAACAGTTGCTTAGGAGTAACAGTGACAATCTTAGGTGCAATAGCATGCGAAGGGACCACTTTCACGATTGTGGGAATGCTTAATTCATGGCCCAGGAAGCAGAGGCAGGAGCAGCTCTGATAATAAAGCCCCTGGAGTGGCTGTCTTGGCCAGCTGCCTTGGCCACCCCCCTGTTTGATCTGGTTCTCTCTTTAACCCTGGAATTGTACATAAAGAGAGTGCACAAGGGTTGGAGCGGAACAGTGTCGCTCCTGCCTTGTCTGAGGGGAACACACTGATGCCCGAAGCCCCGGCAGCCTGAGAGATACTTTCCGGGGAATTTGAAGCTATGGGCATCCTTTATGTTTCAGTATTGGAGATGAGTTTGAACATACTCTGTTTTTCTCTTGTTCTGGTAGTTCATTTGCAGAAAGAACCACAAACATTCCCTTTTCCAGTGTGGTTTATTGAGAAAGTAGGTAGAACTGTACTTTGAAACAATGACCCAACCCTCCTCTGAAGAAACAAAAGTAGCTTCTAAGTTCCAAGGCTTTTCCAGGTGAACAAGTGACAGCATGGGATCACTGAAGGGGCTTTGGGCTCCGGCACATCTGGCCCAGCTGTTTTGCTAATTCCCGAGAGGACTTAGAGCCTCAGCCAAACGGATGGACCAGCATCTCCTTGCTGAATTGCTTGGCATGGAGATAACGTACACAAGTGTTGGGTGCATTTGCTGGCAAGGAGCTTATGATAGTGAATTTAGGTATTTGTTTGAGAAATTGAAACGTGGAGTGGGTAGGGAAATGAGGAATAAATAGGGGAAAAGAAACCTCATTTGCATTAGATTAGGGATTGGGTCCCTCTCTACCCCTGTCGAACAGATTGCATCTTCCAGCGCACAGCAGAGGTATCACAGCCATCCTGCAAAATTGTATCTGTGTCTGTGTCTGTGTCTGCTGGGTGTGCGCCCATGCGCGGGTGTTGGTGATGTGCTCCATTTGTGGAAGGAGGGGTGTTGCCTGGAGCAGCTATTCCCTCAGGTAAAAGAGGGGTGGATTGCACTGAAGAGTCAGGGGAACACAGGCAGGCACACAAGGAATCCTTATTTTATCAGCCTCCCCTGTCTGTACTGTCCGTATCAGTGGTTTCCTGTTTTCCTCTTTATCATCCGGAGGGATTTCTGACAACCAAAGTTTTGTGTGAACGATGTGAGCTTCTGGGTACTGTAACGCATCTGTTTCTCGTTTTGCTGTAAATGGTCCTAGGCAGCAAGAGAATCTCACCCACACCCCTGGAGGGAGGGGAATACCCTGGCAATGTACAGAGGCTCCCTCACTGGGACATCATAGAGTGAGGGGCTGGCTGGCTGGGTGGGTGGGGGCTCCCCATCACCGTCATCAGAGCCTGGCTAGGTGTCCATCAGGTTTGGTTTGGAGGCTGGAGTCTTAAGATTTTCAGCATTGTGAAGGCACTGACATGAAGGTTGCTTTTTTTAAAGTAAAATTTAGATGCAACTTGCTGAGGGACAAATCATTGAAAATCAGCTTCTCAAGAACTGTGAACTTCACAGGATCGTGTCTGGCTTTCCCTGTTATGATAAATCTGGGAAATACAGGAAGGGCTAAAGAAGAAGAGAAAAGAACCTGATCTGGGCATGTACTCTTGCTCTCTGCTCCTCCCCTGATATCCCTTTCCCCGTACGTACTCCGTGGAAGCAAGGGACATGGCCCAATTGTGTTTTGTGTTAGCTGTGCGTACCTCCTTCTGAGAAAAGCCTAAGCTTTGAAGTCAGTTAGGCCTGATGCAAATATTCATTGTCTATATTACTTTTCTGTTGCTACCTAACATTTTAGCAATTTAAGGCCTCTCCCATGTGTTAGCTCACAGCTCAGCAGGTAGACAGTGCAGGTTCTGCTACCTTCCTTGCTTAGGATTTAAAGGCCAAATAAGACATTGGCCAGGTAGGCCTGCTATCTGTAAGCTTGGGGGAAGAGAACACTTGCAAGTTCATTTAGGTTGCTGATAGGAATACAGTTTCTTATGGCTTTTGGGATGAATGGAATTTTCAATGATCCTATGAAACCACTGACAGTGACAGATTAAGTAGGAGAAAAGACACACGAACTTGGGGAGGGAGACACGGGAATGGGGAGACCCTAAGAGATTATTAGGGAATGAATGGTCCCAGATACAAAAGTAGCTTTGATTCTCTTGGAGTCTGGGTGAGCGCAAGGGACAGACACTGTCTTATAGCGGGAGGCCGTGCAGGGGCAGTGACAGTCACTAACCAATCTTTTCTGAGGCAGATCCTGGGATTTCAGGTCAGACAGAGACATTGGTGCCCCCTATTGCAGTTTGATTTTTTTTCTCCCCACTTTGGAACTGGGGATCAAACTCCAAGGATGCTCTACCATTGAGCTGCATCTCCAGCTCTTTTTATTTTATTTTTAAAACAGTTTGAAATGGTCTTGCTCAGTTACTCAGGCAGGACTTGAACTTGCAGTTCTCCTGCTTCAGTGTCTCACATGCTAGGGTTATATAGGCTTGTACCACCATGCCCAGCCTGCATTCCAGTCTTAATACAGGTAAGAGACTTTCAGAGAGCACTTATCCCTGGGCTTGGAGGGAGAAGCAACACAAGGTGAGAGGGAATTGGCTACTAAGCCTGCTTTTGTTTTATTTTATTTATTTAGGTACCAGAAATTGAACCCAGGACCTTGTGCTTACCAGGCAGGCCTTTACACCACTGAGCTATATCCCCATCATGAAGCCTGCTTTTAAAGGCCGTTAATTTCCTAAGTTTAGGTCACATTGCTCAACATGCCTCCAGATCCAAAATGTCATATCTTGGGGGTATCATTCTCAGTGCCCCACATGGTCTAGACCTGAGGATCCCTCATTTCCTTGCTATCAGCTGGTGTCACCCTTTGTTGAGGCCACCTGCGTTCCTTTTCAGGTTGCCTCTCTGTCTCCACAAAGTCCTTACCAACATCTTGTTACATTTAACTCTGCTGCCTCCAGAGGAAAGGTTTTGTGTTTGAAGGGCTCTTGTAAGCCCACTTGGCCTATTTCCTTGTTGCCATATACTATAATGTCGTTGTGAATAGCACGTGGCATGAAAGTCATAGGTCACCTTAAAATTCCAGTCTCTTCCCTTCCTACTAGGTGACATGGCTTCCCCGGGCTGCTCTCTTTAGGTATCATGTGGGCTGGGTGACTGTGGTTTTGTTTTTGTTTTTAGTTTTTGGAGACAGGGTCTTACTATGTATCTTAGCTACTTTTTTCTTGTTGCTGGGACAAAGTATCCAATACCGCAGATTAAGGAAGGAAAGCTTTATTTAGCTTCTAGTTTGTGGAGGTTTCAGTCCATAATCAGCTGGGTCCAAGGCAGAGTGGTTCATGGCAGAGGGTAACAGTTCATAGTGGCAGAAGACAGCAAAAGCAACAAGAGCACAAAGGGAGGAGTGAGCAAGAAGACACTTTCTGTCCCTTATGTTGTATGGGGCCACACTCACCCTAGGGGTGGGTGTAGCACTCACACCCATGATCCCAGCACTGGAGCATTAATCAATCACAGATTCTAGAAGCCTGCCCCCATGACTGCACAAGGCTTTGGGACGACATCTAGATTTAAACTATAACACTATGTAATTCAGGCTAGCCTTGAATTCTCCACCACTCCCAGCAAGTGGCTGCTTTTGTTTTTGTTTTTTTTTCTTTTTGTCTTTTATCGGTACCAGGGATCGAACTCACGACTGCCTGCTTGCAAGGCAGGTGCTTATGCCGCTGAGCTAAATCCCCAGCCCTAAGTGACTGCTTTTGAATAAATTAAATAATCAGTAAGTGCCTCTGTGGTACCTGGTGAGGTTTATTTATTTTTTTTTAAAATCTTTTTATGGGCCAGTTTTACTTGAAATCTCTCTTGTCTGATTCAGGTAGAACACAGTTGTAAAGGGCCATCTTGAAGTGTTTGTTGTTGTAAACAGTAACCATAATGCTTAACTCCCGAGCAGAGAAATAAAAAGAAACTCTGTCATGCAAAGCTTTCCTATGTTTGCTTCCTTCCCCACACCTACCCCAGAACTGGCATCTCCTCTTCAGCTGCTGTCTGTGGGAGCGGCAAGGGCGGGGCGGGTGCTTGAGTCTTCAGACAAGTGGTGGCTTCTGATGGGGAGAAGCTGGCCCACTGCTCCGCAGCTGGCCCCTGCCACTCAGCAGGGAGGGCCGGGTGAGGATGATGTGGTTCTGGGCCCTGGCTGACTGCTCACCCAGCTCTATGCTTGTGCCTTCTGCGCCCCCCAGGAGATCCTCCGAGAGCTCACGGGAGATCAGCTGGATGCCCTGCTGGAGATGGACGAGGCCAAGGTGAAGGAGACGCTGCAGCGCTGTGGGGCCAGCACTGAAGAGTGTGGCCGTCTGCAGCAAGCCCTCACCTGCCTGCGGAAAGTGACAGGCCTGGGTAGGTAGGGCCTGCTTTCCTCCCCCTGCACCAGGCCTCTGCCTGTGCCCAAATCTCAGGTCTGACTTGGCCTCTGTGGGGAGGGGAGAGCAGATCCTCTGCCAAAGTGGACCATGGGGCATGGCGGGTGAGGCCCAGGGTTTCCCAGGGTGGGGGCTTGGGAAGGCTGGGGCGGGCATTCAGATTATGAAATGGGCCTGGACACATAATGAGGGAAACTTCCTGTGGTCCACAGGACTTTGGATCATGTTTGATTTGGCCAATCAAGCCGAGGAAGCGTTAGCCATTGTTAGAATCCCTGCTGGCCAGCCCTTTGTGATTTACTCTCCATTAGCTGCTTTCATTCCCTTCTGTGGCCTGTCTGTCCCCAACTCTGTCCCTCCTGCTCTCAGCCCCACTGGCAGGCTGAGCTCTGTTCTCGGAAACGCACGCTGATGTGGCCTTAGCCTGAGCCAAGCCTGATTAGAGAGCTTGTATGGTTTTTCAGCATGGCTGTCCTGGCTGAGTGTATAATCCTGACATTATGAGGACCTTGGGAATTATTCACAGGCTGTCTAAATCTTGCATGGAAATAGCTTCAAATACCTGACTTAATGCTCAGTTTACCACACAGAGGGGGCTTCAAAATGAGCCCAGTGAATGGAATTAAGCCCCCTTTAAATGATCTGAGCTGCCTGTCTTACCTCTGGCTGCATAAGGCTTAAGGAAATCAATAAGGTTTATATTCTGCTTGATTTTTTTCCCCCCTAAAGAGTATTGGGTTTAATACTTCTCTTTCCACTTTGTACCAAGCCTTCTGAGTACGTGTAGAGAGGTTCACCCAATTTAGAAAATCTTGATCTGCAGGCAACCTGGCAGGTCCTAGAGGTAAATGACAAAGGCTCATTCACCTGGCCAAAGAGGTGTAAGGGTTGGTCGAGGAATACAAACAGCTGATGACAGGGTTGGGGTTGAGCCTGGGGTTCCAGGCTGGAAGTACTGGTTGGTTTGTTGTCCAGCAGTACAGAAGCTGGGATCTCCAGGAAATGCCTCAGCCTGCCTCCTGGGCTGTTCACTGCAGCCCAGTTGAGAGGTTGGCTGTGGGACTGGATGTCTGTTTGGCAGCTTAGAACCCATGGCCAATTCCTTAGCTCTCTGTGCCTCAGTTTCCTTATCTGTGTAACGGAGGCCATAGTTGCTCTATAGTGGATGTGAAGATGAAACAGGCTCAGGAGACGTGCTTAGGTGCTGCTCTGTTGAGGGTTGGGCCTGTGGAGTGGTGGAAAGCATTGGCCTCATGTCCCTTGGGGTCTGTGGTCTTAGGACAGGTGAGCGGTGGACAGTTCTCTGTGCTGGTGAACAGAGCATGGTCATTTTCAGGAACAATCCCCATCCTTTATCCATAACAGACATCACAAGTCAGTCCATGAGCTCTTCTGTGAGTGACACCATCGTCACTGTCCAACAGCCACTGCTGTGACTGTGTGGCATCGCAGCAGGGCCCATTTGCCATCCCTGAGCTGACCCAAAGCAGTGGTGTCTGTGGGTGACTTGAAGAAGCTGGAGCCTGTGTCCCGGGTGGCAGTCTTGCCCACAAATTCATGGAACTCAGCAGGAAGCTTATCTGGTGTCTTAGCATATCCAGCCAAACTGTTGTGGCTGCAGTTTTAAAGGAGCCCCAGCATCAGACAGGGCTAGCTTGCCCCGCCCAGCTGACCAGAAGCAGGATAGAGAGCCAGCAGGAAGTGAAGTGGGAGGAGGGCAGCTGGCAGAGTGGGCAGAGTACACAGAGGCACCTTAGGAATTGTGAAGGCAAAGTCTCCGCTACTCCCAGAGATCACAGATGGTGAGACCCCCTCATATCACCTCCTGTGTGTCATTACCTCCAAAGATGCCTTACTGTATTCAAAACCCATAGCACTATGGGAGAGAAGGGGCAGGATGGTGCTGTGGTGGAGACTGAGGGATTCAGCTCCTATCTCATCCCGGTTTGAGCCTTCTGACCTCGGGCAGTGTCCCCTACCCCTCTGTCACTGGGTAGAAGGGAAGCACCATAGGGAGACCGAGGCAGGTGCATGTGCAGCACACAGTGAAAGGGCTCCAGCACTGAGGTGCATGTTCTCCCTTCCGTCCTCTCGCTCTCCATGAGGATGGGGAGGTAGCTTCTCCTTCCTGTGACAGCTCTTGGCTCTTCCTCCACCCTTCAAAGTCGCCTTGCCTCCTACTGGCTTAACCCTAGCAAGACATCTGAGGCCTTTCCTGAGGTGGCTGCAGCTAGACTGACCCCTCCATCTTCATATCTTGCCTTTCCTCGACTTGTCCCAGTCTCTTGAAGCCCAGGAAACTCTGTCATTATCCCAAGGCGCTGTGTTCTCTTGTTCTCTTGCTTTACACATATTGTGTAAGCACCCCACCTGGTGTGCTTTCCTCTTCCTCTTGCCCACTGGTGCTGCCCCTACCCCCAAGCCAAGTGTGGGTCCTCTCCCTCTCCAGAGCCTCCATGTTGTCTCGGCTTCCAGCACAGTTTATTGCGTGTCTGTCACTCCCACTTAACTGGGCTTGCCAAGCTCGGATGTGTGTCTTTTTTGTAGTCTTATGCACAGCATCTAGCAGAGGTTTGAATGAGGGGACCAGTGTGCCATTGAGTTTGAGCCCATAGAGCCACATGGCCAGAGGAGTGTGATGGTGGGGGCAGCCAAGAGTCACCTGCAGGCTCCTCTCAGAAGGGAGTGGCTAATGGGTGACCCCTTTTGCAAGCCCTAGAGCAGTGGCTCTCTGAGGTTGGCAGTCCACTTTGCTGACATCTGAATAAATTCTCTTTTCCTTGTCGTGGTGTCTGGGTATCATACCCAAGCCCCACACATATTAAGCAAGTGCTGTGTCACCGAGCTATACCCCATCTTTGAATTTTCTTGAACTGAGTTTCCTTTCATGTATCCCAGCTTCTCTTTCTTAAGTCTTAAGACTCAGTTACTGTTTTCTTTCCGACTGAGGTCACCACTGTGTCGGGGGGCATTTCCCAGCTTGCTGCTCCCCGACATGACAGTGAAAGCCCTACATGAGCCAGTCCCACTGTGGGCCTTGGTTCTCCCACCATGCAGTGGGGGATGGTCATAACTGTGCTGACAGCCTCACATCAGCAGAGAGATGTGCATGGTACCCCAGCACAGAGAGATCCTGCACGCCAGGTGTGAAGGCTGGGGGTGGAGCCCCTCCTAGCCAAGCGCTCACCTCCCTCCCACCTGCAGACCCCCGCTAGCCCCAGCCCTCTGTGACATGCATCCTTGGCCCACAGGAGGGGAGCACAAAGAGGACTCTGGCTGGAGCTCTTCCGAGGCTCGTCGGGAAAGTAGCTCAGGGCCATCCGTGGACACTCTGTCACCAGCCACCCTGCCCTGGCCTCCAGGGAGCTCCCTGCTGGGCCGAGTGGGCAGCGGTGCCCAGGGCCTGCGTTCTGTCTCTGTGTCAGCTCTGCCCGCCTCTGACTCCCCGGCTCCCGGCCTCAGTGAGGGCCTCTCCGACACCTGCATCCCGCTGCATGCTAGCGGCCGGCTGACCCCCCGCGCCCTGCACAGTTTCATCACGCCTCCCGCCACGCCTCAGCTGCGCCGTCATGCCAAGCTGAAGCCGCCAAGGACGCCCCCGCCGCCCAGCCGCAAGGTCTTCCAGCTGCTGCCGAGCTTCCCCACGCTCACCCGCAGCAAGTCGCACGAGTCGCAGCTGGGAAACCGCATCGATGAGGTCTCCTCGATGAAGTGAGTGTGGACTGTGACTTCCTGCGCATAAAGGTGTCTAAGAGGGACAGGTAGAGTCTGCCGGTGCAGAAGTGTGTGAAGGGCCCCTCCTTTCACTCTAGTCTCCATGTGACATTAGCAGTTTGGGCCGAAGCCCAGTAGATTTACATGCACAAACAGAACAATGCCATGTATCGGTCAGGGTAGGTTGGAGTAATAAGTAGCTCCAAAATCTCCAGGATACCAAGATCGATTTCTCATTACACTTGTCAGATGGCCTCCCCCCAGGTGACCAGCAGGTTGGAACAGCCACTATGTGGAACATCCTTGGCCACTGTGGCAGAGGAAGAAGTGAATTCTAACCTAGCCCTGCCAGTTAAGTGCAGTGGATACTCTGTGTGTCCATGGGTTGCAGAGCCGAGGGTCACTCAGTGAAGTATTGAAAATATGTGAAAAAAGATAGTAACCTGATTGCTGATGCATAGGTAAAGCTGGGCCTACAGTGGTTGTGTCTGTCCCGAACGTATGCAGACTCTTTCTCTTGTCATCATTGTCTAACATTTATGTGGTATGGAGTATTATGGGTAATCTGAGATGGCTTAGGGTATACAGGACAATATTTGTAGGTTATATGCAAATACCGTGCTGTTTTTAATAAGGAACTTGAGTGTCTTCAGATTTAGTATCCATGGTGGAACCAGTTCTCCCAGCATATTGAACAGCTGCACCCTTTTAAGCTGTTCTCACTGTTGATGGTTCTGTAGAACAAGGGAACAAATTACCCAGCATGGCCAGAAGGGGAACCTGGAACATTTCGCCCAGAACACTAATGAGTGCCAGATACCGTGGACTTGGTCCTGTGACTTGTTGTTTTCACTGTATCTTGATAAGTCTGAGAACATCATGTCAGTACATCTTGCAGTGTCTCTTTTTTTTTTAAATTTAAAACTATTTTTTATCTATACGTTTTGAGCAGGTGACAGTCACATGATCCGAATGCATTGGCCCTGTGGCTCGTGGCCATGGGTAGGGGTACGTGGTAGGATGTGTACCCCTCACCGTTTTTCCTGCCACCTGGCTCTCCTTTCCTGAGTCAGCTAGGATTTCCATTTTGTATGTATCTTTAATAATTCAGACACTGTTGTTTTTAAAAACTTGTTCCATTTAGGTCCTTGTCTTGATTGCTCTTATAAAGATTGCCCCTGCTGAAGTGGTTGGGTGGGCAGGATGAAAGGACAGAAGGCTGTTTTCTCTGGGTGTCTCTTATTTTCTTGTACCCTGAAAGGCTGGGGTACCTCTGAGAGAGGGGAGACCCTCTCCCCCTCCGCTGTGGAGGACCCTGGAGAGAGAACTCTGAGGGCCTTGAGGGTGCCGCCTGAGGCGCAGGAAACTGGTGTTCCCTGAGTGCCCTTGATCAGGCTGTCCCAGTGAGGGCTGGGCCCTGGCCCCCTGCACACATGGCTCGGGACACTGTAAATGTGGGCTTCACAGAGGACCGAAGCTGATGCCTGGTCTTCATCTTCTGAGAAGAGCGTTACAAAACTGCTCTCTGCCCTCATGAAGAACAGTGCCCCAAGCCAGGGGAGTCACTAGCCGTAGACCTTGAGATTTGGAGTCTAACCCCTTTACTCCACGAAACCTGAGCCACCCAACCAGCTCTGACATGGATGCACGGGCCACCATGTAACCCCGAGAGTGGGCAGGGTGCCCTTCCGCCTCCTCCCAGCTCCTGTGGCCCAGGACGGGTGCCAGTGCCGGAGCAGGTGTTGCTCAGAGGGTTCCCTTGCCAGCCCCTCTTGGGATGCTCCGTGGAGCTGTCTTCCCTGGCCTCTTGCCTCAGTCACAACCTGCCTAGCACACTGGCCCCTTCTGCCTGCACCGGTGAGCCACACGACCTAGAAAAGCTCTGAGACCCTTGGTTTCCTCAGCTGTGAAGTAGGGTGGCTGCTGGCAGAGCTTAAATTGGCTAATGTCTTAGAGTGTGCAGCCCAGGCTGTCGTTTCGAAGTCCCCTGGCGGGGCTCCTCTGGCCCTTCCTGTTGAGGAAATGTCCCCATAGAGATCACAGGGCTCCTACAGTCAGCCAGCCTGACCCCAACCACGCCTCTGTTTTATGCCAGCTCCTTGCTTGCTCCTTCTCAGTGGGTAATATTCTAGGAACTGGCTGAGCCAGTGTGGTGACATAATCCCTCTCTCTCCTTTTTGTCTCTTTCAGGTTTGGTAAGAATGATTCATTTTTGGCCCCTCTGCCACTGGGAGTCCTGTTTGTGTCGCTGTCCTCATCAGGGGTGGATTCTTTGAACCTGTCTTGGCCTGCTTGGCCTTTCCATAGTCCGGAAGCAGAGGCACTGGTGACCACGGCAGGAAGTAGCTCTGACACAGGTGGCCTTAAAACGCAGCCGGCCCCAGCCCAGCGGCGGCTGCTGTCTGGGAAGTAGAGGCCCGGAGAGTGTCATGGTGCATGGCAGCTCTGTGAGGAGCCCTGTTTCCTCCTTGTATCCTTACAGTGACCTCTGGGCTGCCAGGTAAAGCAGTGCTGCTGGGAGGAAGGTGCCCTCTGGCCAGTTTAGGGGTCACAAGTTGTCCTCTGAGTCCTCTGGATCTTGTCACTAGGAAAGGGACATTACTAGACATTACTAGAGGCAGCTCTGAATTACAGGGTTCAGATGTCCCTCTGGGAGAAGAGGTGGAAGCTTAGGTAATCCTGGACCTCCATTTCCCCACCCGTCACCTCCAGATTGGGCACAGGGTCTCCTTTTTGGGGGGAGACAGTACTGAAGAGTGAACAGACCCAACGCTTCCTATGTGACAGTCAAGCTCTGTACCAACTGAGCTGTATCCACAAGGCTTTTTATTTTGTTTTGAGACAGGGTCTTGCCAAGTTCTTCAGGCTGGCCTTGAACTTGTGATCTTCCTGCCTCAGCCTCCAGAGGAGTTGGAATTACAAGCATGGACCTCTGGGCCTGGTTGGGAACTAGATCTTGCACATGCTATACTGGAGTCTGCTTTTAATTAAGTGGAAATGCAAGAGCACCTGGGGTTTCTCTTTGCCTGAGAAAATGGCAGCATATTTTCCTACCATGCGTGGCTAGCTAAAGAGACTGGGGTCACTGTGGGGAGGTTTAGGGAGGAGAGGGATTTAGTAGGCAATGACTCACTGAAGGAAGCTGCTGTTGGGACCCCAGGGAGATGTGGGATGGAAAGGGGAACACTTGTGCCCCACTCTCCCTGGGGGATTTGCAGAAATGCCAGGACCCTTAGCAGAGCCAGCCTCTCCCTCCCTGGGACAGCCCGGACCTTGTCCTCCTTTGCCTTGGTAACATGGCTCCGGCACCACGGTGAGGCTCTCAGGCCTTCAGGGTCAGTGCTCCTAGCCAGCTCCGATAGCCAGCACACCTACCACATGGGCCGTCTCACCTCCCCGCTGGTGCCCGGGGCCCGTGTTACAAGTCCGGTAACTGCTGAGCTGGGCACTTGAAGTCTCTCATTCCCAGTATCCATTTTGGCAGCTGCCCTTCTGAGAGCTGGGTGTTTGGATGGCCTTGGCTGCTGACTGGGATGGAGTGGCCTGAGGAGGAAGTCAGAGGTGGCAGCTCCGTGGCAGATGTGCCTGAGAGCTACAGGTGATAGAATGGTGGCATCCTATTTATCACAAGGTTGGCAGAGGGCCTTTTGTCCTGGTCGCCAGTTCTTCCAGCCTTCTCCCAGGGCATTGGGATGCTGGTGCTTGGCCTTAGGTGACCCAGCACTTCGTGAGTGCCAGTTATTCAAGGATGGAGGAGTGGACCCCCTTGGGAGGCACATTCATTCAGGGGACCCAAGAGGACCACAGATCACTCAAGCGTTGTCTTCCTGCACTTCCTGGGTCACAGGTCCCTGGGCTTGGGAGGAGAAAGGGTGGGGAAGGGGGCTTGAGTTGGTTATGCGGGGGCCCTGGGTGGGTAGAGACCATGTCTGGCATTCACCTGCTGTCCAGTCCTTTTCTGCCCATAAACACTGGGGCTGCCTGATCTTAGGGGGAGCCCCAGGATCCCTCCAGCGAGAAAGGCTGAGGGCATGTTGAAGGCCATAGCCCTTCATTCAGCAGAGAGAGAGAGAGAAGGTGTCTGAGACGTCCCCAAGGCCCTGACTGCAGTGCTCCTGGGCCTGGCCATGTCCTTACTGTTCCTGCCAAGAGTTAGCAAGGATGGCTGTCAGAGAAAGGTTTTGTAGGGGCTCGGGCAGGGAGAGCAGGGTTGAACTATATAGCTGAGCAGCCTTGTGCCCTGTGCCTGAACTCAAGCTTGTAACACCTAATAAGCAGTAGCAGAAACAAGCCATGAAAGACTGGTGTGTCTCAGAGAGGATGAGACCGAGCATGGGGAACTTTTCTCACCTTTGCACTCCTTTGGGGGTTGTTTTTTTCTTTTTCTTTTTTGGTTTTTGAGGCAGGGGCTGAGGGTGTATTCCAGGTTGACCTTGAACTCATTCCTTAGGATTCTCCTGCTTCAGCCTCCTGAGTGCTGGGATTACAGTCATGTGTACTGCTTTTTTTTCTTTTTTGTTTTGCCTTTCCTTTTTCCTTTTTTTTGTGGACGTCTTGAGGCTGCCTCCACCAAGGGGAAACCTGCAGTGTCCCAGACTGAGCATCTGGAGAGGCCCTGCAGGTGCTGTGGCCATGGCTGGAGAGCAAGCTGGTGCGTGGGTGACCGTGTCACTCCCCTGCCCTTACTGGCCTGCCCTTGTTTCGGTGGAGCTTGGCTCAGTTTTCTGGTGTGTGACCCGCACACCCCATTTGGCCTGTGGCCTCTGAACTGGAAGGTGCCAGACAAACTTCCCAGACAGACCTTCCTCCAGCGTGCCCAACCCGGCCTCTTTCCTCACAGATCTCTCCCATGGATCCCCACAGATGGTACGAAGGGACATTGGGCTCTCGGTGACACACAGGTAGGTCTGGGTAGGGACTGTGCGGGGTGCTGGGAGGCCCACTGCCCCAGGCAGTCTACCTGGTCACTGCCTACCTGTCTCCCCCGCCAGCCACCATAGAGCCTTGCTCATCCCTCCTGGGGTCTTTTCCTCATCACTGCTTATACCTGTAGAGACAGGCTTAAAGGGACTCCCCATTAGGGACCCCCACTCAGCAGCCTCTGCCCAAGTGCTTGGGAGGCCGTGTGTGCTGACCACAAGGATCCGCGTGGACAGCCAGAGGACAAGGCCTTGGGATCCCCGTGCTCTCGCTGCCCCTGTTAGAAGTTGTTGAAAGCACAGCCGGAGCTCAGTCATTGCTTGGACTGCTGTTTCCCCGGGACTGTGAGCTTTCCCTCGGCCACGCAGAGGCTGGCCTGCAGTTCTGCTGGAGGGAGCCCTGGCCCCTGAGGACTGAGTAACCGTAATCCACGGTTACAGTGCCGTGTGCAGCAGTGAACCCGGGGCGGGCAGGGACCTCTGGTTGGAACGCTGTCCAGGCTGGGATCCTGTACACCAGAGCCTCCAGGGCACCCGCAGACAGCTGGTGAGGCCCGTCACCTGCCCTTTCTGCTCCAGTTTCCTGCGTGAGAGGCCAGGATCTGCCTAATTCCTGGGGGCGTTCATAATTCTGATGGGTTGCAACCTCCTCCGCGAGTACTATTCATGCTGCTTCTGTTGTGCATACGATACACTACGCTTTTAAAAGATCCTTTCTCCAAAAATAAGCTGTGTGCCCTTAGGCCTTCCTGCCTGTGCAGTGGCCTTCGTTTCTGGAGGACACCAGCTACTCCAACCCCATCCTTCTTGCAGTCTATCGTTCATTTTTCAATTGTTTAGCCTTTGGACTGAAAATACATTCCTACATTCAAAATGCATGTGGTTGAAAAGAGATAAAAGTGTCCCCCACCCTCTTTCCCCAGGCTCCTGAGTTTTCCCTTTGGCTTCCGCAGTCTCTGCTGTGTCCTTTGAGAAGTAATTTATATAAACAAGTACATGTGTATATTTTCCTTTCTTTTTTCATACAAGTTGGATATAATATGGGCATCGTCACCCTTTTTGCAGTCTCGTGGTTTGTGCAGAATGGCTTGTTCATACACCCGCCACTCTGGGCGGTGTCCGTGGGGTGGATTCCTGGGACAGGAATCCCTGGGGCAGACTGGGGAGTTTGATTGATCTTTCCAGATTGGGAGCCTTGAGGATGTAGGCAGTGATGACCTTGTGGCTGAGCAGACTGAACACCTGTGGAGAGGCCGTGGTCCCCGGAGAAAGCTGTCAGACTCTGGGAGGCAGTCAGCTCTCCTTGCGCCCCTGGAAACCCTTTTGTGACAGGCTGGGGTCCCACACGCATGTTTGTGTCCCGCAGGTTCTCCACCAAGTCCTGGCTGTCGCAGGTCTGCCACGTGTGTCAGAAGAGCATGATGTTTGGAGTGAAGTGCAAGCATTGCAGGTGCCTGGCGAGGGTGGGAGGGCACAAATACTTTCAGTTTCACAACAGTCTTCCTACTTTATTCCTGGCCTTCTCAGAGGAGTTCCTGTCAACCCCCTATTCATAATCTCACTCGGCATACTGGGGTGATCCGATCAGGCCTTTCTAGAGGAGATAAAGTGAGGTACTACTGGAGGAAAAGAATATTTGAGATGGGCTTTGAAGGATGAATAGAAGTTTACCCAGGTAGACCACAGGAGAAAGAATTCAAAAACAGGAAATCAGGTACTAGTATGAGAATTTTAGCCTTACATTTTAGCACGTAGGTGGGAAATGGGGACAGGCATGGTAAAAACATTTGATAAATGGTCAAAATGAGAATATAGATTCTGTAATCTTCTAGCTTTTTTGTCCTGATAGCATTGTGGTTTCTAGTGAAAAGAACAAAGATGGGGGACAGTGGACGGGAGGAGGGAGGGGAAGCAGTCAGACAGTTGCTGTTCGGGTGCCCTTGCTTTACAGAGATGGCCCTGCAGTCTTGGTTCCTGTCCCACATTACCCCTGCGTTGCTGTGTGACGTGGGGTACTGTGCTTGCCTTTTCTGGGTGACTTTGTATTCATCTTTACATCTGGGAAGAGGAGTCCATTGCGATTGCTCCAAGACTTGAGTTCCGGGCTTGACTTGGACCTTGGGCCCCCCATTCCAGTTGTAGGGGGTGGGTCCTGGATGGCGAGCTGGGTGGACCCTGTTCCTCATGACTCCTGACCTCCTAGGAAGCCCCAGAGTTTTCTCTCCAGTGGCCCCTGGCCATTTGACTTCGGGATGTAGTGGGGACAAGCAGCTCCCATTCTGGGGTGGTGAGTACAGGCTCCCCTAAGCTCCATGCTGCCCTACAGCTGCAGCCAGATATTGCTGGGGCAGCAGCTGCCAGCCCATTTCGTTGATGCCAGCAGCGAGACTTGGTGCAGGAGGCAGGGACCTGGAGGAGAGCCCAGCCCTGGCCGATCCTGGGCTGCCACGGGGCCCCTGGGATCCTTCGATAATGTAAATAGTCTCCTACTTATTAATATTAATAATCCTCTCCCTTCATGGGTGTGTGTGTTGAGTTTAGATCTGTCTGGAGCTTTCTGACAGCAGTGGAAGGGTTCTTTTTTCTTTCTTCTTAGGAGGCAGAATAGATGTCTGTGCTCAGAAAGTTAAAGTGGCCATAGTGCAGGCTGCTGTGTCCAGAAGTCACCCACCCAGCAGACGGTGGCCTCACTGAAATGTGGCACTCACGTCTGTTGAGAGCAGAGCGTTGTGGGAATGAGGTGGTCACAGTGAACGCTGCACAGAGCCCCCTCCCCCGCAGTGCCCGGCGGCTTTCTGGACCCCTGGCCTCGCTGACTTCGTCTCCCTTGCCAGGTTGAAATGTCACAACAAATGCACCAAGGAAGCCCCTGCCTGTAGAATCTCCTTCCTGCCACGTGAGTGCCGGCCTCTCCTCTGCCTCCAGGAATCGGGGTGACTTTTCTTCCGTGTGATCTGCCCCCTGCTGATGGGCCCCCCTTTCATTCAGTTACCAGGCTGCGGAGAACAGAATCTGTCCCCTCGGACATCAACAACCCAGTGGATAGAGCCGCTGAACCCCATTTCGGAACCCTCCCCAAGGCACTGACAAAGAAGGTATATGGGCAGTCACCCTAAAGTTCTCGCCGCCCTGGAATTCCTTCCTAGAAAGTGCCCCTCAGAGCAGGCAGGCTTGGTGGGGGAGCAGGACAGGATACCACTGTCCTTAGCCATTTAGTAGGCTTCACTTTTATGTCCAAATTGCAGTTCCATAGCCATGGGCCCCATGCCCTTTCCCGCTCTCTGAGGAGCGTTTCCTGAGCCCTTACTCTGTGCCAGGAGCTTTTCCCGTCATAACTCGTGACCCTGGAGTAATTCCAGAGAACACAGACTGGTGTCATCTTTATTTTATAGATGGGGAGACTGAACCGCAGGATCCCCTGAAAGCCAGTTCCTCACAGAGCGGCTTCTTGCTTCTTCACCTGCCAGAGGGCTCCAGCAGCCCCCTGGTGGCCTCTCTGATGTAGACATTCACAAGGGACCACTCTTGGGGACTCAATCACCCACAAAGCCTACCTCCCAATCCTGTCACTTGGAGGCCAGGATTCCCACATGGAGGCTTTCAGGATATAGACATTTAGCTCTGGCAGGTCCACAGCCCTGGATGTGAGCCTCTGCTCTTCCCTGCTTTTGTTTCTGCGACCTTGAGTGAGCTGTGTGACCTTCCCCAGCTTCATAGTTTGTGAAGTGGGTGTAACACATGGTGTGGGGCGAGGTGCCCTGTGATCCCTCAGCCTGTCCACAGACAGGTGAGATTTCTTGGCACCTCCCATTGCCCACACTATTATAGCCCTGTTGCGGCCCTGTCCTCTCTCACCCTGTCCTCTCCTCTCTACCCCTCATTCCCCATGTTTCACACTGTCCTCACACACCTGCACTTTCTGGCGACCCTTCACACCCTGGCACTTGCTCCTCTGTCCCCACCCTCCTGGATAGTAGCTCAGCCCTCCTGTGGGTTCCTCTGGGTCCATCCAGAGCCTGTCTCTCCTGGCCTCCTGCATACACCTGCTTGGCACTAAGGCCTGGTGGTGCCAGTGGTCTCTCCCACGTCACTTGGGCAGTGGCCTGGTCTTGTCATTCCAGTGTCTTGTTCAAGCTCCTGTTGCAACACAAGTGAGCAGGTGCTAGGACAGTGGCTGAGGGCAGTGGATCCATCCCACACCTCCTAACTTCTCTAGCCACCTTTGCCCTCTGCCCTCCATTGGCTTTGGCACAGATGCCCCGAGAAGGCCTGGTGACGCTGTCTTGGTCTCTGATGCCTGCCTTGGTCCTCGGCACACACTGGCCATGGAGTGCTATGTTATATTGAGGATTGAATGGATGAGTGACCCAGTGATGCAGCGGGTGCTGCCCCTGTATTACAGATGACAATGTGTGGCTCAGGAAGGCTGGGCCATTTGTCCAAGGTTACACAGGTGCTAAGAGGAGGAGCTGTGGTCCAGCTTTCCCCTATGACCAATCTGCTGCCTTGGCACAGGCCTGACCCCACTGATGGGACTGGGTGAGAGTCTCCAGCTTTGGAGCATGAATGGAAGAGGGTGTTCTCAGTGGATCCAGCCTCCCTTCTTTAGCTGGCACCATGCAGGGTCAGCTGTCCCTGGTCAGTGAGGTCCACTGCCCCAGTTTTGGTGGGTCCCAGAGTGCATACCAAGAGGTGCATACCTCTTGAAGCATTCCAGACCTGCAGAAGAGAAACCCTTAAACTTACTCATTTGATTCTTTTGGTGAAAGAATTCCTCTCCCATCCCCAGGGCCTGGGAACCCTTAGTCAGGTCCAGGCCCCTGCCCAACAAAGAAGGCCCAGTCTTCTCTACACTGCCCATTTGGCCTTGTTAGACTCTGTCTTGCTGCTGGGACAAAATACTTGACATCCAGAATTAAGGAAGGCAAGGTTTATTTAGCTCAGTTTGTGGAGGTTTCAGTCCGTAATCAGTTGGCTCTTGAGGCAGGTGGCCTGGCATAGGGGCAAAAATTCAAGGCAGAAGAGAAAAGAAGCAACAAGAGCAAAAGATGGCGTAAGGTGGGGGAAGCAAGCCTCTATCCCTTTTTATATTGTGAACAGGCTTCTCCTCACCCCAGAGGGTTTAGCAATCACACCATCTAATTTCCCTCCTCTTGCACAGGCTCAGGATGTTTACCAAGTGAGGACCCTGGCTCCCTGCTGAGTCCTTAATTAAATTTACACACTTCTCAAGTTGACACACTGTATCAACTGTAACAGCCCCCCCACCCCACCCCAAGCTACTGTGGGGCCGGTTCCCAGGTCTGGAAGAGTGGAAGAGGCATTTGTTAGTTACCTTGGGGATCATGCTTGCTTTTGCTTGCAAAGGAAACATTTTAAGTTGGAACAGGGCCAGACCAGCTGGGATATCTAAAAGCTTTGTTCTAGCTCAGGTATCTGCAGTCCTCTAGGATGGAAGATAGCACCAGCCCAAGACATTGTCTTCATTAGCGTTTTGCAGTTTAATACAAGCTCTGAGAGTCCCCAGTACTTTGAACACAACATCTGCAAAGACAAGGACCGTACATAGATAGACCTAGCTCACTGTGTGTGTCTCTAGCAGAATGTCCTACGCGTGTAGTAGACATTTTGTAAACATTTGTCAGAGACTGAACTAAGTTCTTTAAAAAAGCCTCCATGTGCCTGGCTCAAAAGTCCAGGCAGGCACTGGAGTGACACACTATCAGCAAACTACCTGTAGATGTCCACAGTGGACAGTCAGTAGCTGGATGCCCTGGGGAAGGGTTGCAGGGAGCTGAGGGAAGATGAGGAGGAGCATGGTCCTCACGGGTTTGGGAAGTATGTTTGCGGGGAGGGAAGATAAACAGTCTAGTTCTCTAGGACGGGGCCTTTACATGCCTGTTTCCTCACATATTAGAATTGGAAGATCCCCGAGCTGGGCCACAGCCCGGCCCCTAAGGGCCTGTGGACTGAGCTGCTCCCTGATGGGCGGGAAGGGCCCCATGTGGAGGCAGCTGGCCGCACTGCCCCGCCCTGCCTACTTTCACATCTCTGGTCTTGCAGGAGCACCCTCCAGCTGTGAACCACCTGGACTCCAGCAGCAACCCCTCCTCTACCACGTCTTCCACGCCCTCTTCGCCAGCGCCCTTCCCAACGTCGTCCAACCCGTCCAGTGCCACCACACCCCCTAACCCCTCACCCGGCCAGCGGGACAGCAGGTTCAACTTCCCAGGTACCACCTAGATGCTCCCAGATCCTTCTCAGCAGACCCTGCGGGTTCTGGATTACACACTTCCACTGTAGCTCTGAGGCTGATGCTGCTGTTGGACTCGCTGCATGGATGGGAATACTGAGGTTCAGGGAAAGGAAGAGGCTTACCCTGGGTTACACAGGTTGTAAGTGCCAGAGCCAGGATCAGACACAAGTCCTGCCACCCAGCCTGAGTTCTTGGCCTAATCTTTGTACTGTGCTATGCGGGGGATGGGTGGCTTCTGTCACTCTTTGGTGTTTGGCTGCTGGGCTCAGCTGGTGTGGCAGGCAGCATAGGGATTAGGCCTGGGAGAGCATGTTGCTGCCTGCCTGCTTGGTGATTGGGACAGCCTTTCAAAGAAGACCTCTCCCTTCCTCTCTGTAAACCAAGGAGACCATATAAAGTTACAGTCGGGGGCCCCACTGTGCGGAGGACTCTTTAAGTCCCACAGGAGCACAGGTGGGGCACACCTGAACCAGACTTCTGACCTCTGCTGCCACAGACAGCCCCAGGTCCCTGGGGTCTATGGGAGGCCAAGAGGCCAGCCTCTCCTTCACTCTGTGACCTGGGGTGTCGCACCCCCGCTGAGGAGCAGAGTAGCCACTCACTTGCGTTGAGACTGAGCACGGCCTTGATCTCCCAGGATGCTCCTTGCTTTCATCTTAGCCCTCAGTGGCTTCGATTTGCTGTCCCAGAGGAGGAGGGGTGGCTGGGACCCAGACCCTCTGTCCTGTCCCTCCCATGGCGTATAGGTAAGGACCTGCTGCTGGATGTTGCAGTTCCAGGCCTGGGGTGGGGGGACAGAGGTCTCTTGTGCTGGGCCGTCTGCTTGGGGACACACACAGCCCGCAGCAGGCCAGCCTGCCTGTCAGGGCCCTAATCACCAGGGTCCCAGTGATTCTTTTTGGTAGTGGTGAGAGATTAAATTTGTAGGGCTGTTTCTTTTCTGCTTGTTCCTTTGCCTTAACATGCATGTGCTGGCTCCTGAGGGCTCCGTGCCCCATCCTTCCCTGTGATTCAGTAATGGCTCCTTTATTAACCTTCTATCTCCTTCTGCTCTGCCATTACGGTCCCTTTTGCTAACCCACTTGGTTTGGGTTTTTGTAAAACAAAGGACCTGTTTGAAAAACAACCACCATAGAAAGCCTTTTTTGGTGACATCAGCCAAACTGTGTCCACTTTCATTGATACCTCAGGAAGGAACTGGGCCCTCATTGTCCCCGTCAGAGAGCGCACGGAACATTGCGGCCAGGCCAGGTGGGGCAGGGCTGGGACAGCACAGCTGTGAGACCTCCTCCGGCAGCTCAGCCTTAGGGAGCCTTGCCTGTGACCTTCACCGTGCACCTGGGAAAGGTGGAATGCCCCTGTTTTGCATTGTGACAGCTGGAGAAGTTAGCTTGTGTCCCTAAGTCCCAGATCTCAGTATGTGGTGAAAGTGAGGTTAGAACCTTGTGTGCCCTGTCTGGCATAGTGGCACCTTGTGGTCTCGGCTACTCAGAAGGCCGAGGCAAGAGGACGGCTGCAGCCGAGGAGTTCAAGGCCAGCCTGGGCAACATAGCAAGACTTGTCTCAAAACTACAAGACAAAATAAATCCTTCTGTATCAGATTCCAGAAGCCCGGTGCATTCCTTATAAGAGATACATAGGGACGAGTTGATGTGGGGGCGGGCCGGTTGAAGCACTGCAGTGTCAAGATGGGCTAAAGAAGAGTCCTTGATGTAATTTGCTCTCAGGGCTCCTATGCATTTTCCAGAGCAGGGTGCTCCCTGCGCTTAGTAGCACCCTCTGGTCCTCCAGGGAAGCCCCCTTTACTCATGGGGCTCCAGCTCTCTCCCTACTTCCTGCATGGCTCAGCCTGTCGTTGCTGGGCCCACCAGGGGCCAGGCATTGGGGTGGGGCTGCCCTAGCCCGGTAACCGGGTCCCTCCTTCCCAGCCACGCATCCTCTCCCTCGCTGCATCTGCCACTGTGTGTGACTCACCCCCTCTTCTCTTTAAAGCTGCCTACTTCATTCATCATAGACAGCAGTTTATCTTCCCAGGTGAGTCCTCTGCATGGTCCCACTAACTGCCCCTTGCAGTGACCTCTCCACCCAACCCACCTGGGTGCCCTTTCCCTGGTGCTTGAGTCCATGGTGTTGGCAGGGGGGCAGGGCAAGTCCTGGAGGTGGGCCCCTTAATGACCATGCCTTGCTGGGAGGGACCTTGGCATCCATCCTGTGCTACCTCTCGAAGAGACCCCTGGCAGCTTTTTCAGCCCCGTTGCCAAGTGGTGGCAGAAGCAAGTAGCACCAGAACCCAGGTTTGCAGAGAAGGGAGAGGAGAGGGCTTTTTGCTGATGTTCCATGAGCATCTGTCACCATATCCTCCTCCCCTACATAAGGATGGGGCGCCTGTCCTGTGTCTGTGGACTTTGCCTTTCCAAGCCTTACTGCACAGCACCCCCTGCTGGCTGTCATGGCAGAAAATTTAGCAGGAAGAAACAATTCTATAAGACAAGCATCCGTTCCCTGCCACAAAAATTGTTTCCATTTGACCAGCCTTTGTGGCAGCCTTTGCATTTGACCGTATTCCTGCCCTTTGAAGGAATTCATTAGGTCATTTCTTCCTTTTTTTTTTCCTTTAGCCAAAGGCGACAAGCATGATTCCTTTGACTAAAACTGTAGTTTATTGTTTCTTTCCCCTTGAGTTAAACAGACAGTCTTGAAGTCAGTGTTTTGGTTATTCCAGGTTTTCTTCTTCCCCAGATCTGAGTTAAGGACCTCACCTGGAGCATTTGTGAGTCTCTATCCGTATAGCTGTGTTCAAGCCTGTGCTGGCTGGTGACAGTCAGGATCTGGTCTCTGCTCAGTGGTTCCTCTGTGGACAGCTGGGCTGCTGCCGTGGTTCCCCCAGAACCTCCTTGCCTACCAGCTCTGGACTGTGTATGAGACACACCCTTCCCTCCTCTGGAAGGTCCATTTTTCCCTAAAGCTGTCTCATGGAAGGCGGAAGGATGTTGTCTTAAAGCAGACGTAGACTCGTGTTAGAGCAGGATCACAGTATGTGCTTCACTTTTAGGAAAGGATGGGATCTGTGAAGGATTTGCCTTCCCACCTGCAGCACTTTACTCCCTGGACCCCAATTCCCTGGCCCCCAGGCTGTTTGTCTTCTGTGGAGACATTTAGAAGTGGGGTGGGTGGAAATGCCAGGCTGCCCATGGCAATCTGGATACCCTGTGGCAGAGTCTGGGGAGACTTCAGCAGAGGCTTATGAGGTCTGAGGTCCCCTGGAACTGCACAGGATGGCGGGCACGTGAGTGCATTGCCCTGATAAGATTCTAGCAGATTGTCAAAGTCTGTGAAGGCTTAGACATGGGAACTTCTGGTTCTGATGCCCTTCAGGGGCAGCTTTGGAGAAACGGGAAGGGAAAGGGCAAGGGAGGTTTTCATGGCCGAGCAGAGAGGGTGTTTATCCAAGGCAGGAGAGCGACTGCTATTGCCCAAGCTCACTTTTTAGCTTTCTTTATGTGTTCAGGAGTGAGGAGTCCGGCCCGCCCCCAGGGCCACCAGTCTTACAGCACCCAGCCCTTGTAGCACTGGGGTGACTGACTATCCATTCAGGTTTTGCTAGGCAGGCAGGGGTGTTAAAGTGCTAAGGACCCTACCCAGGGGCCTGGCTTAGCCTCCCAGCCTGGGACAACCCAATCCTGAATACAAGCCAGGAGGGTTGCTCTGCAAATTCCTAGCAGTTGCACCAGGTGTCATTGAGGAACCTGCGATTTCTGCTACCAAGTGTCCCTATTTTCAAGAGTTGCGACAGCCATCCCTGCCTTCAACTAGAGGAGCCTCCACAACTAGAGGGTGGCTCTGACCGCCCTTCCCTTCAGTGTAGCCCAGCTGGCTTTTGCTGCTTGCTGTGTGGAATTTTAGGCAACCTGGAAGTGGTGTTGACCGAGGAGACCCTCCCCACCTTACCCATGTGAGCCTCTTCCTGGGACAGAGCAGTGTGGACGGAAGAAGAGCCTTGGGGGCTGAGTTCATGTCTGCTTTAGGGGTTCAGCGCAAGCTGGTCCCTGTGGGAGTGGCCTGGAGAATAAGGACAGCTACCCAGAGAGGAGCGATTTTCTCCTTTTGGGCAGGTGCGGGCTCTCGGGTCTGGGAAAAGTAGCCTCACACTTTGTGTTTGTGCTTTGTTGTCTGCAGACATTTCGGCCTTCCCACAGGCAGCACCGCACCCTGAGGCCGCCGAGAATACCCGGTAGGAGTGCCAAGTGCCCCTTCTCTACCTGGGGACCTGTTGAGATCAAACCCAAATCCCCAGCTGCCTCCCAGCCCCACCCTTCCATCTCTGACCCTCCCACCTAGGGAGCCCCTCCTCCATGGCAGGCTGGCCTGAGCCCTTGACTTGGGCTCCTCGGGCAGTCTTCTGCCCGTCCCTAGTGTACAGCCAGCCCAGAGAGGCTGAGTTACATGAACAAGGTCACACAGCAAGGAAGCAGTAGAGGCCTCAGAGACAAGCCTGTTGGATCCTGAGGCCTGTGTGTGTGCTCTGAACGCCTGGGCCACAGTGTCAAGTGAAAGGGCCTTGGTAACTCAGCCTGGGAAGAAGGCTGAGGCCGGAGCAAGGGTGGGTGTGGTCCCCCCCCCCCCCCGCCTGTCCCCATGGCATCCACACTCCCTTGCCCACAGCCAAGTGGCTCACAGCATAGGTCCAGGCTTGGCAACCTTTGCCTCCATCCTGCCTCGGGAGCCCCTGCCCAGCCCTGGATCTCCTGATAGAGCCTGTTTTACTCTTAGGCCAGATGAGCAGCAAAAAGCCGAAGTGATGGAGGCTCAGCAGGCGGAGGTGAGTGTGGGTGCTACAGCTGAGTCTTCAGGCAGCTGTTGCTATCTCCTGGAATGTGGGAGGTCTACAGAGGGAGGGGCGCCTGGGCCCAACAGGGGTCTTCTGGTGCCAGTGCACAGTGTGGCACAGTAGGGCCAGAGCAGCCACACTGCCTCCTTGGCTTCTGTTTCTGAGCTAAATGAAGTTCTCAGTCCTTACTCTGGCTCAGACTCACGCCATCTGTCTAGCACTTTCCTGTGCTGTCAAAACTTCCCAGGCGATTCTGATGAAAGCCAGCGTCAAGAATCACTATCAGGATGTTTGAACTGAGCCTGGATTGCTGCTGTGCATTGTAGCTTGTGGGATGTTTCTCTGCCTGGAGGAGAGTCTGGAGCTGCTTAAACAATGGAAGACCAGGACAGGAAATGCAGTTAAGGTCTTCCACTGCTGGGTGGTCAGGGCTAAATGATTAGATGTTGCTCTTGGGTAGATCTTGAGCATTAGTGGGATAGGAGCCTGTGGCAATGACCTGGGCCAGGACTATTTTGTGCATGAAGATACCGAGGTCTGGAGACACTGAGTGACCTGCCTGCTGTCCATAGCAAGCCAGTGCAGAGCTGTGTCTAGAGTCCAGCTTTCAGATATGAGCCTCTCCTCCTAGCCTGGCTGGGGCTCCACGGAGGGAAAAGAGGAGCTTGACCTGTTCATTCCTGCTTTCCTTCCAGGCTGAGGAGCCAGAGGCTGGCAAGTCAGAGGCAGAAGATGACGAGGATGAGGTGGACGACCTGCCGAGCTCCCGCTGGCCCTGGCGGGGCCCCATCTCCCGCAAGGCCAGCCAGACTAGTGTGTACCTGCAGGAGTGGGACATCCCCTTCGAGCAGGTGGAGCTGGGTGAGCTCATCGGGCAGGGCCGCTGGGGCCGAGTGCACCGTGGCCGCTGGCACGGCGAGGTGGCCATTCGCCTGCTGGAGATGGATGGCCACAACCAGGACCACTTGAAGCTGTTCAAGAAGGAGGTGATGAACTACCGGCAGACACGGCACGAGAACGTGGTTCTCTTCATGGGCGCCTGCATGAACCCTCCCCACCTGGCCATCATCACTAGGTAAGCAGCCCTGGGTCCGGTCACCCTCCCGGGGAGCCCTCCAGAGTGTGCAAGTTTTCATAGAAAGAGGTACAAAGAAGAAAAAATGAGATGTAACGTCCTGCCTACATAACCCCACTGACGTTATAAACAAGTGAAATGCTGCTTCTCTGAGGATTCTTAGTTCCGTAAAAGGCACTAAGCAGAAATCAAGTCCCCTGCCAACTGGGCACTTGTCCCCAGAAGTGGATGTTGTAGATATCTTCATTCCCTCCATTAAAATAAAGTCTTTGCATGTGCTCAGAAAGTTTCCAACTATTCCTTTATGAAAACATTAAAAATCTTGCTGGTTCTTACCTTGTTTTTTCACTTGACTGTAGAGCTGGGGTCCTTCTGTTTTGGTTTTTTTTTTTTTTGGCAGTGGTGAGGATCGAACCCAGGTCCCTACACATATGAGGTGAGGGCTCTACCACTGAGCTACATCTCCAGCCCTTGATGTTTGATGTCCGTAGTCCATTTGTATCCTGGTGGCAAGTGCTCACTGTTTCACTTTCACCCTGCTTGTCTCTTCCTAGAGACAGTTTTGCCCATGGCATTTGTGATAATACTGTATACTTTTAAAGCTGAGAAAAATGATACGAGATCATTAGAGAAACGCTCAAATGTACATAGAAGTTGTAAGAAGAATCTGAAAATCACTTTAATGCCATTGAGCCAGGAGAGCCCTCATTAGCATTGTTCTGGGTTCTCTGTACCTGGGCCCTGTACTTTAAGAGAAAAAGACTTCTCTTTTCAAAGCAGTGAAGTGAGTAAAAGTTAACGTCTGTGTTTGTGAGTTTATCTGTGCAATAAGGAGCCAGCCCCAGAGCTCCAGAGCAGAATGAGATCACCAGGGTCTGTTGACCGGGGAGATAAAATTCCAGCCCAAAGCAGGACACGCTGATGCCCAGGAAGCCTGGCTGTGGCCACACTAGCCCGGCAACCCCAGCCTCCCAGCCCCTGCTGCTGCCCTCCACCCACCCATCCTCCTTCCTTTTCTTTCCCATTTCTTAAAAGATGGGAGTGAGTGATGTGTGGGTGTACATGTAATGAAAGAGCAAAGTGTTTGTTAACAAGAAAACTGTGTTTTAGAAACACGCTGAGGAAATGTGACACAGATTAGGAGACCATTGTTCCCTAGCTCTTGCCTCTTGGTTCTCAAAGTCTCTGAGGTGCCAAGAATCTTACTTCCAGGAGACTTTTCTTAAAAACTAGTCGTTCCCTAGGATGCCATAAACCAGCTTCCCTGCAAACAGGAACAGGAACCACACCCTGTCTGGGTCCTTCCTTTCCCTGGGATTTTTGAGTTGATACAGTTGGTGGTTCCAGAATGCAAGCCACCTTTCCCCTAATTGCTGTGATCCCCTGACAGCCATTCCAGGGTCTTGTCCCTTTTTTACACATGGCTTTATTAGGAAAGGAAAAAGCTCTAGGGCTTAAAAATGATAAAAGCAACAGTGATACTCTGTACAGTGAGCACTGGAGCCTTAATGTTACCTGGCAGTAGCTTTAAGAGACTGTTCTATCCATCCGAGTTTTGCTGCTTATGGTCCATCCTTGACCCCACTGCAGGGGGCCATGCAGGGTTTCAGGAAATCTAGTGGGACTGGGGTCCTTGCGTAGGTTAGGTGGGCCTGGGCCTTAGGTGGGGTATGTGTCTGAGCCCCAGCAGGAATGGGCATCGGGTTTGGTGAAGGACCGGCATGCTTTGTGGAGGACCTGCCAGGCGTGAGTGGGGACAGGGCCTCCCTGACCATGCCAGTCCCCGACTTGACTGAACATACCCTCAACAGCTTCTGCAAGGGGCGGACGTTGCACTCGTTTGTGAGGGACCCTAAGACATCGCTGGACATCAACAAGACGAGGCAGATTGCGCAGGAGATCATCAAGGTAAGGGGCACCCAGCAGCCAGAGGGCGGGTTTCTAGCTGCTCTCTGGTCCTTCCTCCTGTGTAGCCACATGTGTTGGGGTAGGGTGTGGCTACCTGCTCTACCTCTCCTAGATGGGGCTCTTCAAGGTGGGACCTCTCTGCTCCCCTGTCTGTCTTGTCTGCTCATAGCTGGAGCTCTTCACCTGCTTGGCATTGTTAGAATTGAGGAGAGAAACTCAGCTGGTTCTAAAAATAATCCAGCTCCTGGTCACACCAGCTGTGTGGTCTTGGCCAGGCTCCTTAGCCTCTCTGAGCCTTGGCTGTCTACCTTGTAAGATGGGGCTGCCAGCATTCTCTCCCTCATTGGATCAGTGCAGAAATAAGGTACAGTCATCTGTGGACGGCATTTGGCCCAGACCCAGCACTCAGTGAGATCTGTTAGGGTGCACATGGACACGGTGAAGTGGCATTTCCATTCCCGGGACACAGGGCCCAGGCTTTCTGTCTTGACGTTTGCAAGGCTGCCTTCCTGAGGGTAGATCCTCACGCCCAAATGCAAAGCCCCTTCATTTCTTCCATTATTTTAAAAAGTAATTAAATAAAAGTGAATTTATTTAGCAATAAAAAACCCAAATAAAAACTGAAAGACAAATGAATAGAAGTTCTTTTCTTTCCTTTTAAAAAATTACGTTGAGAGAAGCTGTTGTCTCTTCTCAGCTCCACCAAGTTTTTCCCCACCTGTCTTTCCTCCCTTTCCTTTCTCCTTCCTCCCTCCCTTCCCTCCTTTCCTTTCCCTTTCCCTTCCCCTCCCCTCTCCTCTTCCTTTCCCTTTCCTTTCTCCTTCGACTTACCCTCCCTCCCTCCCTCCCTCCCTCCCTTCCTTCCTTCCTTCCTTCCTTCCTTCCTTCCTTCCTTCCTTCCTTGATTTCCAAGTGGCATTTCTGTGCTGCTAAGCTAATGAATTAAACTTTGGAAAACTGAAGCCCAGAGGTGCCATTTCTGCCTTCACGGTGGTCCATCTTCTTTCAGAGGGGCCTGCGGAGGCTGTGGAATGTTTCTTCTCCAACTCCCACCCCAGGCTTGCTGACTCCTGCTCCCCTCCCTCCCCTCCCCTCCCTCAAGCCCTCTCCATCTCTGCAGCTGTGGGCACTGTGTGTTTTGGTGCTGACCACTGAGTCAGGGTGACGAGCCTTCAGGATGATTCTGGGCCCCAGAGATAAGTCACTAAAAGGTTTCAGAGCAGTGGAACCGAAAGCTGCCTCTCTACTGGCTTCTTTCCAACCTGCTGAGAAACCGTCCTCTCTCCTCCTGCCGGGGCCTAAGAGCTGCTTCCTTTATGGAGTTATCTGTGATGCTTTGTCTAAAAGAAAGAAAAGGGGCTGGGCCTCTGGTTAGAGGATTTATAACTTTTGGACCTGATAGAGGTACCTGTGGAATTCTGGAAAAGAAAAGAGTGTCCAGAACCAGCTGCTTACATCCTGTCCCTTTAAAGCTGCCCATTCAGGTTGTGGTACATGCTTTGAAAGTAAGGCTGAGGGCAGTACAGTGACTTGTGAGTTGGTTCCAGAGCTGCCCCTACTCTGCCCTCAGAGTCTGTGGCTCTGGCTGCTGGGGAAGGCTTAGGCCTTGGTTTGGTTTTGGAAAAGGGCGGACATTTTTGGAAGGACACTCTGGCATAGGAGACAAGAGTTTGGGAAAGAGCGCTCCTAGAGCTCCCTGGCCCATCACAAGGAGACAGCTTGCCACAGGCCTGAGGGGGTGGCCCCTCTTTCAGAGGACAATCTGTTTTGTTTAAATGGTTCCCAGTGCTATTGACCTACGGGCCCTGGCTCGTGCTGGGGCTGATTTCTGCTTGGTTCTGGCTTGTAGCTGACTCTGTTTCCTAAATGAGCATGTTTTTCACTAGTTGTCCCTTTTCCGCCCCTTCCCAGTAACCCCCTGTTAGCCAGGGACATTGCTGCATAAACTGTGATGTGCCTGAGGTGTGGAAAGTGGTTTTATAAAATGCAGCTTTTTTCTGAGCTGCCAAGGATAGCACTCAGCCGTGGTTCTTGGCCCTGTTCTCAAAGGCCTTACAACACTCACAAATCACCTGATTTCCATGTACCTGGCCTGTAAGTGTTCATTCCAAAGTGTGCTCTCTAGAAACCACACCCATGCGTTGAGCCACAGAGAAGCACCACTCTATCTGAGGCTGCCAGGTGAGTTAGGAACTGAGCTGAGACGGAACTTGAACCTCACATTTTAGTCTTAATCCCGGACTACTCCTACCATAGTGTGGCTATTGGCAGTGGCCAAATTTGGTGACCCCTTTGTGCGAGTGTCTCTGTGCCTCCGCATCGGATCATTATGGTGCCTGAGAGCAGAGACCAGCTGTGCAAAACCTGGTGGAGACCCCAACTTGTTGGAGCCCTTTGTGAGCTGAGCCCAGTGGTATCATTGAGTTTTTTTCCTTGCAGTGCTGAGGATGGAACCCAGGACCTCATGCATGCTAGCCAAGTGCTCTACCACTGAGTGACACCCCAAGCCAATTTTTCTCTCTGGCTTGTGGGCAATCACCTGTCTACATCTTATGCCCTCTCCAAGTCTAAGATGACTGTTGGGCAGCCTAGTGGTGTGAAAAGAGCATGGGCTGGCTTAGAGACAGAACTGATTTCTGCTAATGAGCTGCTGTGTACCTTGGGGGAGGTGACCTTGGCTTTTTGAGCCTCAGTTTCCCCTGCTGTCAGTGGAGACGATGTGTAGCATAGGGAGGTGAGGATTAAATGAGGCGTCTTGGGGCAGCATCCAGTGCAGAGCCTGTCACAAGGCAGAAACTCAGCATCACCACTCATCTTCTTTCCCCCTGATGTGAGCCTATTTTCCAGGGTATGGGATACCTGCATGCCAAGGGCATCGTGCACAAAGATCTCAAATCCAAGAACGTCTTTTACGACAATGGCAAAGTGGTCATCACAGACTTTGGGCTGTTTGGGATCTCGGGTGTGGTCCGAGAGGAACGGTGAGTTGGCCCTGGGTGTCGGGGTGGGACAGGAGGAGCTGGGGTGCTGGATGGGCTTGCTTGGGGTTCAGATACTCTGGCTGTGCTGTGGAGAATCGAGCTTGGGCAGTATTTTAGTCCCTTGTGGCATTTGAGTCTCAGAGTAAGCCCCATAGAGGGATCCCAGCTCATTCTTGAGCTGGCTGCTCACCAGCGTGGGTGAGGGTTCAGGCCACATTCTCATGATAAGGGAGTGTGTCAGGCTTTTATTTCCCACATCCTTAAAGAAGTGGGAGAAGGGCTCCTTGAGCATCTAGGAAGCCCCCAAAGGAAGAGTGGCAGCCAGGTAGAGTCCCCTGGCAGGTGTGAGAGCACAGACAGGCCTGGTTTCCTCGACACACGAGCTCAGGCTTAGCAGAGTCAAACACTCATGCCGAGCAGAGCCAGAAGCGGTGCACTGCATTAGGGGTTTCACCTGTGCTGTGTGGCTGGTTTCTTGGCCTGAGAGCGGGCAGGTTCCAGGGAAGCCTGCTGAAGGGCTGTGTTCCTATCTCGGCCTCCAGGCGTGAGAACCAGCTGAAGCTGTCACATGACTGGCTGTGCTACCTGGCCCCTGAGATTGTGCGCGAGATGACCCCTGGGAAAGACGAGGACCAGCTGCCCTTCTCCAAAGCTGCTGACGTCTATGCGTTTGGGTAAGCAGGCTCCTGCTGCTTGGAGCCCCAGTGTGGCCCACGGGGAAGGCCCTGGTAGCCACTGGGGGAAGGGGAGGTGTCTGTGAGCTGCTTAGAGCTGGACTTTGGAGTGGAAACAAGCCTGATTTTGAGTCATACTCTGCCACTTACTGCCTGAATGACTACATCCTTGACCTCCTGTCTCCCAGCTCTAAGATCACGTAGCACCTCTAAGACAGTCGTTTCATGAGGACTAAATTAGGTCGTGGTATAAGTGCTAGTTGTCAGTCTCACCCACTCATCTGGCAGGATGCTCAGCAGAGCCAACCATTGACTATCCCTCCCTGCCTGGGATGCCTGGGCATCCTGCCAGCCTAGTTCTAGTACCCACACAGAGCTGGGGTGCTAAGGGAGATATAGTGCAGACCAGATCTATCCTTGCAGATATGACAGGCCACGTTAAACAAGTGAAACAGTTTCAGCACATCTAAAGTATGATTTCAGTATGCAATGAATAAAAAATTAATGAGCTAGTTTGTATTCATTTCCCTACTACTAAGTCTTCACAATCTGGTGTTTATTTTATATATACTGCCCACTTCATTCAGTTCTCCCATTTTAGTGGCTCGGTAGCCTCATTAGCCAGTGGTCCCTACATTGGATAGGTTGTCCCCGTGCCAGTAAATTGAGGAAGCTAAGGGGACTGGAATGGCCAAGGAAAGGCTCACACCCAGTCGCTGTGTTCTCTCTTGGGTGTCCCTCCCTCTGGTGTGGCCTGAGTGCCATCTCTTTCTCCCTCACCTTTAACTGTGTCATTGCCAAAGCACGGTGTGTGCCCTGCTGTGGACTTGGCATTTTAGTTCCTGCTCCAACAACCTGATGACAAATGTCAGCCTACTGGAGATTGCGCAGTTGTATCACAGCCTTGTAGCAAAGAAGTGGCAGAGCCGGGGTCAGGTTTAGGCCAGAGCAAGAGCAGTGTGCTGGCCAGACCTGTGCCATATTGGACTTGACACCACAGTGGGAGCAGGTGCACAGGGTGCAGGTCCCCAGAGGCTCAAGAAGGGTTTCTCGGGTGCCATCATAGCATCCCCTGCAGGCTGGGGGAAGGCTGGGGCGGACCTCAGTCCACAGAGCCTCTGGACGTGGACTGGGCTGTGCGGCCCAGGAGCTTACGCCACCGGTGCATCTCCACAGGACTGTTTGGTATGAACTACAAGCAAGAGACTGGCCCTTTAAGCACCAGCCTGCAGAGGCCTTGATCTGGCAGATCGGAAGTGGGGAAGGAATGAGGCGGGTTCTGGCCTCCGTCAGCCTGGGGAAGGAAGTCAGTGTGAGTAGCGCCCGCTTTTGAGGGGCAAGCAGGGCAGGGAGGAGGCTGGGCACATGGCATGGCTACCTTATTTATTTATTTAGAGACAGAAAGAAAACAAAATAGTAAAAAAGGTAGAATAATGCAGAATTCAAAAAAAAAATTAACACTAAGAAATTGCTAGTTGATACAATATTGTCATCTTAGAAATTGTTCAGGTTACAAAATCAAAGCATAAAAAGTGGATAGACACTCAGACACTGAAAGTGCAAACCATTCTGTTCAGCGATCCAACAAAAGTTCAGTAACATGGTCATCTATCTTACACACTTAACATGTACAGTTATGTCCTTTAGAGCACTTTCCTGCCCTTTCATTTTTACAGTATCTATTATACATTTTGGACCTTTTTACTCTTTCAGTATTTATTATTTTTTTACACTAGAGAGACAATGTGATATTTACGAATGTAAGTCTTGTTTATTTCAGTAATGAGGATTTCTCAAGTTACCTCCATTTATCTATAAAGGCCTAAGGATCATCGTTTTTATAGCTGAATAATATTCCATTGTATAAAAATACATCTTTTTCATCCACTCTGCGGTTGATGGGCATTTTGGTTGTTTCCAAGATTTAGCTATTACACATTGTGCTGCTATGAACATGGGTGCACATATATCACTGTGACATGACCTTTTCAGTTTTTCTGGGAAAATACCCAGGAGGGGAATAGCTGGGTTCAATGGAACTTCCAATCCTAGTTTGTGGAGGAATCTCCACACTGATTTCCACAGTGGCTGCACCAGGCATGGCTGCCTTTTGACTCCTGTGTGGGCTCTGCCAATGGGCAGTGTGGCATTCGAGGACTGAACACCACCTGTGTTTATGGAAAATGGGGGAAGCAGGGAAGCAGAGAGAAGAAGATGAAAACCATCAGTGTCACTCCACTGTCAGCTTTCTTTTGATCCTGATTTCCTCCTTTAGGATAATGATGATTTTAATTGATATGAAGTGAGGACAAAATAAAGTCTTATGTACTACTGATGTGAAGATTTAAAAAAATCACTAATCAGAATACAAGGGGTTATGCTGGGTTATCATGTCTTTCCTCCGTGTTTTCCATGACTATTCGAAAGCAAATCGGAATTCTCCCAGTGAACTTGTTTCTGAATCTTAATTATAGCCACTGTGTTCTCATTTCTGGGTGGTTTTCCTTTCATGGTTGCTCTGCATGAGGGGTTTCTGTGTCATGGCACGGTCCTATGTCAAGAAACCCTGGACAACTGTTTGCAGTGCCCATGCGTTCAGTGGGACTGTACAAAACCTCGTCCTTAGTAACTGCCGTAGGAACCAGGCAGCTTCACAGTGGAAAGCTTCGCAGAGGGGGTGCCTGCCTCTTTCCAACTTTAAATCTAAATAGACTGTGAGTTTCTTGTCAAGGTCATGCCCCACGTGGGCAGGACCACTGTCTGTAAACCTGGTCAGGACCCAGTGATGAATCCAACCTCATCTTTCTCAGAGAACTTTATTGACTGGTAGCAGGCACCTAAGACATCTTAAGAGGGCTCATTTAAAATGGCATTGTAAAGCTGGGTGTGGTGGTGCATCTGAAATCCCAGCACTCTGGAGACTGAGGCAGGAGGATCATTGCAAGTGTGAGACCAGCCTGGGCTACATAGTCCTGGCTACTCTGAACTACATAGTGAGAACTTGTAGAAGTGTTTGATCACTGTATTTTACAGTCGTGTATGTCATTAGGTTGACGTGCAGAACATTTTTCAGGAGTGATGCCAAAAGGGAAACACAACTCGGGCACTAGACTTTGGATCAGTCCATACAGCTGCAGCTGGGGCATTGGGTGGGTGGGGCATTGGATGGGTGGGGCATTGGATGAGCGCCTCCCTGGTGGAGCCAGGGTCAGCTGGACACCGCCTTCCCCAGGGTATGCTCTTGGCACTTCAGGAGAGAAATGGTGGGCCAAGGTCTGGGCTGGACTCCTGGTGGGCCCTGCTCTGGCAGCTCAGGGGGCCCCTGGAGCAGCTATTTCTTTCCAGCTTTTTTTTGGTCAGTACTAGGGATTGAACAGAAAGCCCTCTTTTAAAATTTTAGTTTCAGACTGGGTCTCTCCAAGTTGCCTAGGCTGTGTTCAAACTTGCAGTTCTTCTGTTTTAACCCATCAGAGTGCTGGGATTACAGACATGTGCCACCATGCCTGGCCGTCTTCCTGAGTTTGTTCGTTTTGAGACAGGATCTTACAATGTACTGCATGCTAGTCTTTAACTTACTGTATAACCCAAGTGTGGTCTCAAACTTGAGGCATTCCTCCTGTTTCAGCTGGAATTAAGGGCAGCCACCACAACACTTGGCCTCCCTTCTAGTCATTTGTTTGTTTGTTTGAGACAGAGTCGTGCTATGCATTTCAGGCTGGTCCTGAACTATGTACCTCAGTGTGGCATTGAACTTGCAGCAATCCTCCTGCCTCAGCTTCCTGCATGCTTGAATTACAGGCATGTGCTTCCGTGCCTGGCACCTTTTTGTCTTGTAAAAATATGCATCTTGAAGAAAACCACAATAATAACATGTAGGTTATTTTTGTGTAATAACTTTTTTCCGCGTGACACTTTATTATCTCAGGTTTCTAATGAATCTCTATTACCTGCCCTTCTGTCCTGTGGCTGCACTGTGATATAACTCCTTGTATCACTGGATATTTAGGTCATTTCCAACTTTTTACCTTTACAGTAACATGATTAAGCATTTCTTTGTATAAAGTAGAGCATATTCTTTTAAAGAGCAAAGATCTCTAGTCAGTTTTTCTGCATCAGCCTCCATTTCCTTTCTGTACACTAGCAGCTTGGAGTAGAGTGAGTGCTGTCCTCGGGAAGGAAGAGACCGGAGCAGAGCAGCCCTGCCCTGGTCAGAGAGCTGCATGCTGGGCTCCGAGTTAGAATTATCCCAGAGCCGTTCAGAAATACCAGGGTCGCACAGCTGTCATCCCAGCTACTCGGAAGGATGAAGCAGAAGAATCATAAGGTCCAATCCAGCCTGAGCAACTTCGTGAGACCCCATCTCACAATAAAAAGCCAAAAGGACTGACTGGGATGGAGAACATCCTGAGGTCCCAAATAATTAAGACCTGGTCACCCTCCCATATCAATTTCATTGACCTGAGATTAGACTCAGGCTGTATTTTTATTTCTGAAATATTTTATTTTTAAATAAAGCTCCTCAGATAATTCTGGAGCACAGCAGGGTCCAGAAGTAATGGGAAGGTTTCTCTCAGTGATTGGAGCTGCAGGCATGTCTTTTGGTGGTGTTTTTGGAGGAGCGAACCTGCAGGGGTATTTTGTGCCTCCACCTATGACAGGTCCTGCTGTGGAGCCAAGTAGATCAACCGACATCACTTGAAATAAGCCTTCTGAAGATGCCTGAACTAATTGGAAGAGTTTCTTACAAAGAAGAGCGCAGAAGCCTTTTAAGAACAGAGGCCAGGTAGTGAGAAAGTGCAGATGGGAAAAATGTGCCAGCGGCCAGCTTCAGGGTCAGAATTGTGTCTCTTGCAGACGAGTCTCATCTTTTCTTCTTCTTTCCCTTTTTACAATTGCTCTGTAGTGGGCGGTGGCCGATGGCGATAAAGATGAGTCTGACTCTTAGCCCCAAGTCAGGGTTGCCCTCCCAGCAGCCCCTTTTTTTCTTTGTGAGTCTTCTCTTCTATTTTTCAGTCTGTCAATGGTTCATGGTTTTGTTGTCTTCACGTTTGGGCTTTCTTAGATTTTCCCGTAGTTCCTAATCACCCCTTCCCCACACCTTTTTTTTTTTTTTTGGTCTTTTTCCTTTTTATCGTACCGGGGATTGAACTCACGACTGCCTGCTTACAAGGCAGGCACTTTATGCCGCTGAGCTAAATCCCCAGCCCCTCCCCCCACCTTTTTAAAGATGAGATCTGTGTTGGCCAGGTTGCTTCAGGGTTCAAGTAATTCTTTCACAGTAACTGTTGTAGTCAGGGGTAGCAGGAAGAACAATTACATACAGGACACAGAATTTATAATTTTATGATGATCATATGGAGTTAAATACAAGAAAGAGCAGGAAATCTGTCTACAACACTGAAGACCCAGAATATTCAACCAAGGGCCTGTATCCCACAGCAATGTCCTGCATGAGTCCAGATGAAAACCCAGAGGCCATAACAGTGCCTCCCATGAGTCCAACTGGAGGTCAAGAACCCACGACAAGGACTCATGCCAGTCTGTTTTCCAAATCTGCATTGGGAAGGCCCAAAGGTCAGTGGTGGAAGCTAGAAAGTCTGTGCCAGCAGGGTGAAGGAGCTATGCTGGTAGGTTGAAGGTTCTACACTGGAGCTAAGAAACAATGCTCAAAATAAGGACCAGGGCTGCCCTGAAAAGCCAGCCATCCTCAGTGACAAGGAGGTCCTGAGCTTCTTTGATGGTAACAGTCAAGTACATGCCAGGAAGCCAGTGTGACAGGCTTCTCCTGGAGATTAAACAGCACACATCTTCCCCTCTGCAGCCAGGAGGTGATGTTCAGTGTAAGCAGCAAAGCTCCCCCAAAGTGAGCCGCAGCCACACTCAGTGACAAGGTTCTGAGCTCCTCCAATGATAATGGCTGAATTCATATCGGGGAAGCCAGCATGACAGGCTCCTCCAGGAGAACCAACACTCGCAACAGCAACATGTAGGAGAACCTACATTGCCTTGCTCTTCTTCTCCAAGTCTCTGTTTATGCTGGCAGCTTTCCTCAGGTGGGCCATCTACCCGCAGCACCATGCTGATGTAATTCAGCTGGTGTTCAGTCGACCACCAGTTTTTAATCTGTACCAACAGCCTCCCCAGTAGCTGGGATCACAGACGAGTGCCTTGTGCTCATTTTAAGAGGAGAAACAAAACACCTTCACCATGTTGCGGTCTGGTAGCTTGCTCTGCATTCTGTTTATTGAATGGAATCTGTCCCATGCTTTTTAGGCCCTCTCACTTCTGGTCCTCTGAGTTAGTGGTACAGCTATTTCCTTTTATTCATTCCTGTGACACTTGCACTGTTTTTGCATTGCGTATCTTTCCCTGTCTTTTCACTCTTGCAAAATAAGAGTAAAACTGCCCCCCAGTGGATACATGAGAGATATTCTTTGGATGTCTGCACATCTAAAAGATCTTGCAATCCACCAGGAATAGCATTGTAGGTTCAAGATTATTTTCCCTTTAGAACACAAAGGTTTTTCTCTGGTGTCTACTAATTGTCAAGTACATTGTTAAGAAATCTCCGAGTGGTCTGATTCTGAGCCTTTTGTGGATCCCTTGCTGGAAGCATTTAGGATCTTTTCCTAGGTTCTTGCTGCAGTGAAATTTTGCAAAAATATATCTGCATGTAGGTTGTTTCTTTTGTAGTGAGCTCCCTCTTTTGGGTCTTTTCAGCCATTTCTTTTGAAAGTTTCTGGGGGAAGTTTTTTTTCCTCTTCCATAATTCCCTGCCCTGATTTCTTATTTTCTTGTGGTAGAACTTCCATTTGGTAGAATGTGGTTCTTCTCACTGAGACTTTAGCCTTCTTTTATATTTTTCATCCCTGTCCAACTGGGTCCATAATCTGGGAAATTTCCTTGATTATTTTACCCCAGCACTCCTCATGTTTGGTTTAAAAATTCTATTTTCAATTTCAAGTATTTTTCTGTCTTTAGTCATTTTATTTTCAGTTCATCCTGGTCTTGTTTTATAGAGTAGATTCTTACAGGCTTGCACATTTACATGCATATGCGTGTATACATAGACCTATCCAGAGACAGAGTTTTGATCTGTTACATCTTTGATCTCTCTAATTCTCCTGACTTAGCAGGCAACCCCATAGGCCCTGTTGTATTTAGGAGCAAAAACTTGCATTGCTGAGTCTCACTGATGTATGACACTCAGCCTTTAGCCACTGAGGTTGGCCACTGCTGGCCCCTAGTTGTACCTCTGTATCTCTCCATCCTCCATCTGGTCAAACCGAGACTCCTTCCATGCAGCCCCACCTTGTGCATATTCTGAGTATCTGTGAGTACTGTGCCTTCCCACTTCTCTCCTTCAGAGACAGCCACTGCCACTTCCGATCTCTTTTCTGTGATTAGTTGGCTCATGTTGGTTGCTGTTATTTCAGGGAGGAAGGGATTAAGGAGAAAGGACAGGAGCTGGCATTTTGGCCTGGAAGCATAGAAGCTTTCATGTTGGCAAGGTCTCCAGGGGGCCACCAGCCAGGGCACTGAGAGCAGTGCAGGGGTGCCCTGTGGGTCTCCCAGCCTTGTTCTAGCTGGCGCATGCACTGCTAATGGCAGCTTCTTTTGCAGGAGATCCTGTCTGCCTGCTGGGCTTTTGACCTGCAGGAGAGACCCAGCTTCAGCCTGCTGATGGACATGCTGGAGAAGCTACCCAAGCTCAACCGGCGGCTCTCACACCCCGGGCACTTCTGGAAGTCAGCTGAGTAAGTACCTCCTTGGTGATCTGCTCCCCTGGGATCTCAACGGGCCCCCTGTGCTGTGTCTGCCCCCGACTTTGATCTGGGGAGTACCCCGGCCGGGGAGATTACCCAGAGAGAAGCTAGGATTTTTATTTACTGAGCTTATAGTGGAGACAGGTGGGCACCTTTGGCTCACATCTGTGAAAGTCTGTGAAGTCATAATCATGTTGTGATTATGAGACCAGTGCAGATGCCTGACCTAGGTAAGGCCAGATCGAGAAGATTTTGCCCTGGCAGGAGCAAGATGGGAGGGGTGGAGGTCATAGCCATGTAGAGACTAAGAAACACCTATAATAAGCAGTTCCTTGCACCCATGACAGGAGCGGGGTGGGGGTCTCTATGGGCATCAGAAGCCACTGTCATCTCTTTTGCACTGCCTTGTTCTCTTTCTTTGTCCCTCTGGCCACTCATTGCAGACTACTCAAAAAGATCTTTGTCCCGCCATGACCTTTTGTGAGGCTCTGGGCCCTAATTCTGGGTCTTAGTTCTCACACCTTTAAAAGGAAGGGTTAAGATCCAGGATGCACAAACTTCAGCAGGAAAGAACCAGCTCATTATTTTAGGCTTTGCAGGCTAAGAGGGAAGTCATGTTGTAACTCCTGGCCCTGGCGCTGGTAGTGTGCACAGTGTGGATTCTGACGCTCTGACCTGGCCCTGCCATCTAAGGCAGGCATTTGTGCAGACAATACAGACACCAGCAGCACTTGACAATAGCAACCTAAGTTGGGTGGCACATGCCACCAAATAATCTTTAGTTTTTCCCTCTGCCTAGTCATTTAGGCTGGTAAAAATCATTTTTAGGGTTGTATGCCTGGAGCTCACATCTCAGAGGTACCAGAAGTATGTGCTGGCACATTCCTTATTCTGGGAGGGATCAGGGAGTAAATACTTCAGGCATGCAGGGGACACAGTCTGTCTAAAAATTCCTTGAAACCTTTCATAATTGGTGGCCATATTTGGCTTGTCCATAGTATGCCAGGCCCTTTCTTGAGGAAGAACCAAACTGGACCCCATGTTGCAGATGAAGAGAGGTCTACCCTGAGTCACCCAAAGGTTGCAAGTAGAAGTCCCTGAGAAAGCTTAGTTCCTTTTCCTGCTCAGGGATGGTTTGGAGGGACAGCCATCTGGGGTTAGGGAAAGCTGTCTTACTATTTGTGTTGGATCCCACTTTTGCTCTTAGGGTGAGAATATCCATTGAGTGTCCCTTATCTAAAATGCTTGGGGACAAAAAGACCAGTTTTCCTCAGATATTGAAATGTTTGCATAAACTTTACAGTTTGAGCATCCCTAATCCATAAAGAGTTTCCGCCTTCAGAGTATTTGTTTCCAGGTTAGAATAGTTCAGCCTGTTTGGAGATAAATGGTTGGTGGCGGAGGTTAGACCTTTCCCGGCATAGAGATGCAGTCTAATCAGGGTAAAGGCAGACAGATGCACTGCAATGCAAGCTCCATCCAGCACAACTCTGTCTTGTCACCTCTCTCTATCCCCAGCTCCTAGCGATGTTCTGTGAACAGAGTAGGTGGAGAACAAATCTTAGGCAGGTGCCCGGATGAATGAATGAGTGATCCTGGCCTGCCGAGTGGGTGCACAGAGCCCCGAGGCAGCAGTGCCAGTGAGAGCCTCTTTGTCCACCTGGGGACTGAAGGCAGGCTCTCCAGAGAATGGTCATCAGAGCAGGGGTGGAGGAGGAACCATCTCAGCCAGGGTGGAGCACGGGTTCCTTGAGCAGCACCAAGCAGGGCTTATGGGGCAGCAAGGCTGAATTCTGACTGCCGCTACAGACCTGGGACTGCTCGGAACCCTGGGCCTCAGCCTCCCTGCCATCAGAGAGAGGCCTGCACCAGGTGAGCACTGGCACGCAGTGGATAGTCCCGTTGTCCAAAAATCCGGACAGCCTCATCTGCTCCTATCACAGGTGGGACCCAGAGTCTCACACGGGAGCTGTAGTCTGTAGCTGTAGTCTGTAGCTGTACTATCCTGAATGCATTTGACCTAGCCCAAAAGGGAGTGTTACCGGCTCGGATCCTCAGTTGTAGCCCCTTAACAGGAAGATGGAGCAGATCTGAGTAAATCTGTATCTAGGCTTTCCGTTCATAATTTCTACTTTCTGTACCCTCACCCTCTAATTCTCTTTTTCTCTTTTCTTTCCCATTGGCTTTGTTGCTTTTTTATTTTGGGGGTGGGTGTCGGACACGCTGGCCTGCCTGTCCTCTCCCCCGTCCCACCTTCCTGACTCCTCTCCTGTCCACTGTTCGGCTGCTGTCACCTGTTGGCTGATGGCTGGACTGCACTCTTCCTGGTCCTGTTGGAATGGTCTTGGGGCGCTCACAGTCGCTGGCGGAGCCGCTACTATGGGAAAGGACGTTATGGTCACCCCGACTTTAAGAACTCCTGTCCAGTTCTGGAGGAATAGTGTGTTTCTCTCATTTTCCTTCTTCCCTGCCTGTGTGTGGCTGTCCTGCTGCACCCACTTCCCCTTCTGTCTCTGCATAACCACCTAGCTTTATCCCCATAACCCTGAGTGACATCCTGAGCAGGGGTGCCACCAAAAAGGGCCATGTGGGCTTGTGTTTTCCTCATGGGGTGGGAGAGACCCATGGCATGGTGTGGCCTCTGTCCAACCATGAGTGCACAGATGGCTTGTCATGTGCCCAGGGTCCCCACTCTGGCCAGAGCTCAAAGGAGGAGAATCCAATGAGCTGAGGTGGAAAATTCCAAGAAGTCAGTGTTGACAGTCAAGAGGAGCTGTGGGCCATCAGCCAGCCTCTATAGAAGCAGCCTGTGACTGTGCCCTGCAGGACCTTGAAGAAGATTCTGTGCATTCAGATTGCCTTCCAGGATTTCCCGGGCACCACCCTGGGGGGATGAAGTTGGTTATTTCCCTCTGTCCAGGAGCTCTGGCCAGGCCTCTGGGTCCTGGGTCCCCTGTGGGCTCGGCTTCTGATGGTGTTCTTGTCTCTTTTCTGCCCTTTGTAGGTTGTAGCCTGGCTGCTTTGCATGCACCAGGAGGCTTCTGCCTCCTAACTGACAACTCGGCTCTGCGACTTCTGCTAAAATGCAAAATGCCAAGTAGGCACTAACCCAGGGATGCCGTCTCTGCTGCTTCACTCCTCTCTCCAGACTTCTTGTGCTCTGTTTTTAAAACACAGCCTCCTCCCATCACAGCGTGGCCTGTGTGTGCCCAAGTTAACTTCCGGTGACGGAGGATAGTGCTGGCCAGGCTCCCTGCAGTGCCGCACAGCTTCCCACCACCTTCCTGGATGTGACTCTTCTTTCTCCCTGGCTCGTCTGAGAGATGTCCTGGCTCATGTGCGATGGGATGACCCTGTCTCCTGTAACACCTTAACAACTTCCTGCTGATCGCGTTCTGAGAACGGGGGAGGGTGCATGGCTTCTAACTTCTCTAACCACGGGGACCTTGTCCTGCAAGGAGTGGGATGGTTGCTGAGCTGCCCTCTCTGCATTCCTGTCTCTGCCCCATGGATTTGGGCAGCAGATGCCAAAGGTCCTGTGGCTGTGAAACACACCAGCTGAGAAGGGCCCTGTCCTCAGCAGCACACTCAGAAAAGTTGGCCTCATTCGAAGCGGTGCCTATTCCCCAGCTTCAGGAATGGAAATGGCTGCTGTCCCAGCCCTGTCCCTGCTATGTTTGTCCCTTTGCACCTGCCCTGGCTCTGTACCCTGTGAAAGTCAGGTCAGTGTTCGGCTTAGGTGAGCTGATAGCTCACTGTGCTGCTGAGTACAGGTCTGTGCACCCTCTCCAGTTTTATGGACTCCGGCTCTCTGGTATTCTGACTTGAAAGTCACACCTTGACCCACTCCCAGGGAGCCTCCTGCTGGGCCTGGTGCTCGGGCACTATTTCTTGTCACTTTTTTGTTTTGGTGGTAACTGGGGATTGAACACAGAGATGCTCTACCCCTGAGCTATATTGCCAGCCCTTTTTATTCTTTTCTTTGAAACAGAGCTCACTAAATTACTCAGGCTGGCCTCAGATTTGTGGTTCTCCTGCCCCAGTATCCTGAGCAGCTGGAATTACAGACATGTAATTCTCCAGCAGGTCCAGCTGAGTACCATTTCCAAAAGGAGCTGGTGGCCTTGTGCCCAATATTGAGGCTCAGGTTTCCTTCCCCTCAGTGTTGCACAGAACAAGGTTGTGCCAGAGCTGCCAGTAAGGAAACAGTTCCCACGAGCCCACAGCAGTTAATGGTGCACCCTGGGTCCTGAGAGTCAGAGATGAATGAGCCACATCACTGTCCCCTGGGATGGGGGAGAATGGCCAAGGAGGAGGACTCAGGAGGACCCAGAGCAGCTCTGCTAAGGCTGTGGGCTCAGCAGTCATTGTCATTTCTTGGTGGGCCAGGTCTCCTTGATTCTAGTCCAGACCAGTAGAGCCATAACCCTGGGTTTTGTTCCTCTTTGCAGCATTAACAGCAGCAAAGTTGTACCCCGCTTTGAGAGGTTCGGTCTTGGTGCCCTGGAATCCAGTAATCCAAAGATGTAGCCGGCTGCACAGTGTTTTGCTGCCTGTTTCTTTTTTCAATGTGTTTTTGAAACACACAAATAACCATCACAACAGCAACAAAAATGAAAAACCACTCCACCTGTCCAATGCTGCAAACCACAGGAGGGTGGGTCCTCCGTTCCGACAGTTCGTCACAAAGACACATGGGTCCCCGGAGATGGAACCACACCTGCTGTCTTAGTAAGATCCCAGCAACAGCCAGACTGGTCCCAACCAACAGCAAATGTTTACATGTATGTTTCTGCCAAGCGAATTTGATGTTTTACAATAGGTAATAATACAGTCCATGCATGAAGGCGCTGGCACCTGGGGGTGGCAGAAGTGGCTGTCCCCTCTGAAGGATTTGGTAGCCCTGGGAACCCAGTGCTTGATGAGAAGGAAGAAAAACATCACGGTTACTGCTGGTTTAGGATTGAAAGAGGAAGGGGTCCAAGGTTTGATTTGGCCCCTAACCTCCCAGTGGTGGTGCAGTGTCCCTTCCCTGTCTTGCAGAGAAAACCCTGGCTAAGCACTGAGACAGATTACAGGGGATAGGAGCTTCTTGGAAGGCTTGGCTTCACCTTCAACCCCTCTAACCCAGACTGTGCCCACTGGAAAAGTAGACAGAATCCAAATAATACCTAAACGGATGCAGTGGTTCCTCACACGGTTTCCATTGCCAGGTGAGGAGATGTCCTTGAGCTAGTGCTTGTGTGAAGCCCTGAGGTAGACCTTTGTGTTTAAGCACAACCCAGAACTCCATATCTGACCCTAAGGGCACTGTAGGGCTTAATGAATGAGAACAGGGAAGATGGTGAAGAGAAAGAGAGAAAAAATGGACAGCAAGTACTTGAGTTCCTGTCCTATCCACAGGGTGACCCTGGCACTTTAGAAACCCATTGTCAGTCATGGTAGAAGGTTCTAGAATTGCCCACCTCTTTCACTTCCCCAGCCCTTGTGAAACCCTTTTGTACCTTCCTGATTCCTTAGTCTGGGCTCCACGCTCAGCCGGGAGGATGATATTGTCCCACCCTGTCATTCCCACCTCAAGAGCCTTTCTGCAGAGTCCTTCCCAGTGGCACCAGGCCTTCTGCTTGTGTTGAACCAGTAAAAGGAACTGGATCCAGAGTCTTTGATGTGAGTGCATGCAACCTGGCCTCACCAGAAACCGTCACCCAGAGAGGAAGGTTCCCAGTGGCAAAGAAGCCCGCCACTGGAGGTGAGGCTGCAGGAGTCTCCGCGACCAGCAAGGAAAAGCGCAATGCAAGTGGACGTGTGACTGGATCCAGGCCCTGTGCTCAGAGCTCAGATCAGGGTGGCCATGTGGCTGCCACCCCTTACAGTTAGACCCACCTGGCAAAGCCCCAGTCTTCAGAGCCACCAGAGTGTCATCCACAAGTCATGGAAATTGAGCCAGTCTGATGAGAAGCTATGAGCTGCCTCTACTCTCCATGCCCAGCAGCCATGCTCCCTGCTGCCCTCTTGGTGAGCACAGCCAACCCTTGGATCAGGAATTTCAAAATTTTTATAGTCGCCGTGGGGCTGAAACCACTTGGTGCGACTCTGTGTGGGTGACTTCTGTGCTATAGCAGGACTGTCATTTTACCCCCATGATCCCTTTGGTCTCCCATGTCATCTCCCCAAGGTGACCTCCCTACCCTAGACCACTGTGGGATGTGGCCACTGCCTCTGTAGCTGTTACATCCTTGCAAAGGTTGCAGTGCATGTGACCAGCCTTTCCCCTCCTTGCTGTGACATTGGCTTTCCCTGCCAGACAGAGGCAGCCGAGCAAATCGGGCTCACTGCCCTTCTGACTCCATGCCACTGTGGGCCTCACAGCCTGTGGGAAGTACGGCTAGGTCTGGCTGTGTCTCTTGAGAGTGTCACAGTTCAGGAAGTCCCCACTGAGCTCCTGCTGGGCACACAGTTCTGTGCAAGTGCTGGGCCCCAGATAAAGGAACAGTGGAAACCTCTGCCTTGGGAAATGATAATGTGCTGAGGCTAAATACAGCCAGGAATCAGGTGCCATTTGTCCCTGAGGGTGGAGCTGAGCGCGTGGTTCCCCCCGCCCCTCCCCCCAGGCCTGGCTCTCACCTGGCCACTTCTACACTGCCTGTCATTTAAGAAGATTGTTCCCCTTCCCTTGTCTTTATTTAAGTGACTGTGAATCAAGGTTCGGAAGATGTGTTTGCCCTTCTGTGTGCTCTGTCTGTCTGCCTTGGAAACACATGAAGGATGACAGATACTGTGAATTCATCCCTCACAACTCACTGTGAAGGAGGAGGCCCGGGGGCTCCAGAGGGCCCACCCAGGCTCTGAGAGTATGGTCTCCGTTTGGATCTTGCAGGTACCCCAAGTTCTCAGCCTCACCCCAAGGCCTTTAAACACCAGGGCTACAGCTCCTAGGCTTCTGTGTGACTCAAAGGCTTGAATCCTGCTAGTCCTGGGTTCATTATGAGCAGTGTATTAGCAAAATTGACCTCTCCATGTCACTAAATCAAAACACCCTCTGCCATCTGGCATTTCTTCCTGTGGTCTCAGCAGGACATGGCAGGCCCTGCGAGCCTGTGTTGTGCTGTAGCAACGTGGCGGTGACACTGAGGGAGGCTCCTGCCATGCTGCAGCGCTGGCTGGGATATCACCTGTGTGTGCACACCTAGCATCTTCTGTGGCCACAAGGCACACAATTTGCTTTTTTGAATGTGATGTAAAATTTGTACAGTAAAAGTTTTTATATTTTTTATCAATTGTGTTTGTCTTCCTGAAATGGTATTAATTTAAATTAAAATGGTTAGTATTAACGAACATGCTGTTTGGAGGTTTTTTAAATGTGTGTGTTTCTGTGTTTGGTTTTCCACTGGCAAGAACACATCCTCTGTGCTGAGCCAGGCCTAGAGTCTGGAATTTGTGAATAATATACTAAGGTGTCTTGGGACTTTTGTTTGCTTTGGTCAGTTCCCAGATGAGAACTGGGGACTCGTTTTGATAGTCCAGAGGGTAGAAATGTAGGGATCAAGGTGTTTCAACACACATTAAGGAGTTCCTTCCCGAGTGTTATGGTTTATATCTAGAAGTCACCCCAGGACCTCACGTGTTCGCAGACTGGGCTGTTGAAATGTGACTGGATTATGGGCGGGGGGGGGGGGTCTGGTTGGAAAAGGTCATTGGGAGCATGAGCTGGAGGGTGTTTTCCCCTCCCTCGGTCGTCCCTTCCCTCTAATCCCTGACCACCACGATGTGACCAGCCTTCCTTCACACAGGCCCTCCTGCCATGATGTTCCTGTTTGAAGCCTGCCAGATATGGACTGAAGTTTCTGAAACATGAGTGAAAATAAACCGCTCCTTCCTTAGGTTAGGAGTGTTGGGTATCATGCCCCGGGATGAAAATGTGGCCAAGACACAAAGGAGAAGAGAATTACACTCTGCCCTTAGGGGCAGCCTCTGCGCAGAGGAAGAATGGAGAGGAAGAGTCAAGGCCTATGAGGCACAGCTTGCCTGGCCACCAACAGCACCAAAACCAGCGAGCAAACCCAGATCCAGCCCCGCTTGCCTGGGCAGAGCTGCCTTTCGCCTTCGAGAAGCCTTGAGTGAGGGGAGCAGAGTTCATTTCAGTCTGATTTTAGGAGAGACTGGGCCTTTAGGAGATGAACAAGAACAAGGAAAGGAGAGGAGGGGCCGGCACTTAAGGAGTCCTTCTGCTGAGCCAGGGAGGTGCTTACTGCACGTGGTCTCCCCCTAATCGGCAGTGCCACGAGGCAGGAGTTGTGATGTTTCAGCTGGGAAAGCAGGTGAAAGGGAAGGTGTTCAGCAAGGTCACACAACCCCCTGACCTGTTTGTCAGAGGCCAGGAACTTACTGGTCAGACATTTATTGAGCTCTTACTTTGTTCAAAGATGGTGCTACATTGTGGAGCATTTTCCAGGATAGGTTATGTGGTAGGCCACAAATTTAAGTCTTAATAGATTAGAAATCATACAAAGTACTTATCTGACTACAATGGGATGATGGTAGACGTCAGTAATGTAAAGTTAGCAGATGCACAAGTTTGTGCAAATTACACATCGTTAACCAATGGGTCAAAGAAATCATAAGGAAATTAGAAAATATTTAGCGATGCATGAAAAAAGCATGCTAAATTTTGTGAGACCTAGTGAAAATGGCCAGCAGGGAAATGTATAGCTATAAATGCTTTCAGCAAAAGATCTCAAAACAGCTTTACAAATTAAGGAACTGAAATAAGATTAGGATGGGGTGAATGAAAAAATAGTAGAGAAAATCAGTGAAACCAAGGTCTTTGAAAAGATTAGTGAGGGCCAGGGATACAACTCAGCTCAATAAGCGCCTCCCTGATTTCAATTCCTGCTGCAAAAAACAAAAAAACCAGAAGATCAGTAAAATCGATAAACCATCTTATGCCCACAATTAGATAACCTTTAGAGCTTTGGGTGATAACAGCCCACTGCAGCACACATGCTACAGGCCCGCCACTGCTGACCAAAGTGAGCTGGACAAATTCCTGGAAATAGAACCTACCCAGACTAAATCACAAAGAATTCTTGTACACATGTGGCTGGACCTATAGCTAGTGAGAATGTCAGAAATTTAAAAATCACAAGCAAAAGTTCTGGTCCTGTCAGTTTAATGTGTAAATTCTGCCAACATTTACAGAACTAATAGTAACATTTCTCAAGTTTTCCTTTATAATAAAAAAGGAAGGAGTAGTCAATCACTTCTAAAGGTCAGCATTACCCTGATACAAAGGCATAGCCAAAACAAAACTATGGACTGATACTCCTTATCAACACCTGTGAAAAAATTCTCAGCAAAATACTAACAAGCTAAAGTTGAAATATTAAAAGAATTACTCAGCATGACCAAGATGGGATTTATTCCTGGAAAACAAAGAATTTGACATATAAAAACTGATCAGTGCTAGATATCACATTAGCAGTAAAAATCAATACATGATTTCAATTGAGCAGAAAAGGCACGATGCAATTCAACACCTTTTCGTGATATAAAACAAGGAATGGGGGTGAGGGTATAACTCGTGGCCCAAAGGCCTGCCTGGCAAACGTGAAGTTGTGAGTTTGATCTCCAGCACCGAGGTCGTGAGTTCGATCCCTGGTACCAGAAAAGAACAACAAAAAACCAACAAAGGAAACCCACAATAACAAAAAGCTAGGAATAAGAAAGAGACTACCTAAACATCAAAGGTATACCTAAGAGACCCGCAGCAGAAAGACGGAATGCTCCTCAAAGATCAGGAACGTGGCAAGATGCTTATTTTTAACTTTTGATCAGCATAGAACTGGAAGTCTTAAGCAGAACAAGGAATTTAAAAAGGTATCCAAACTGAAAAGGACGAAATAAAATTCACTCCAGTGGCAGATGGACCCTTGCGGAAGCTTTCATTTTAGTAGGATTCCACTATGCCCACTAGGTGGCAGTGGTGAGACAGGATGCCTAGGAGAAACTGTCAGAAGGATTCAGGTACCCTGAAAAGGGAGTGGCAGAGAAAGCTAGATGCAGGTGGACCAACAGAGGGGGGGCAACAGCAGATCCAAGCCCAGTGTCTGGGGAGTTTAGAGTGGAAAGCTTAACGGTGCCCAGATCGCGGCACCCGTGTGCCCAGGGTCCAGCATACACTCCATCTTTGGAGAGGGTCACGCACCCTGAGGGAGGGGCACCAGTGGCGGCCAGACCACTAGAAAAGGCTACTTTTCTACTTTCCCACCGGGGAGAAGAACGCAGTAAGCAAGATACTCGCAGGGCATCAGAGAAACAGAGCTGGTGACCAGTGCTTGAGAGGACAAGGAAGGCCTCTAGGGAAGCTGAAGTCAGGCACAGGACCCTGATGAGGCATCCGGACTGGAGCGCTGAGGAGGCTATAATGTGGGGTGTCACGAGTGGGCAGTGTCTGTGAGAGATGAGACCCTAGAGAGAGGAGAGGACAGACTCGCCCAGTCTTCCCCCAAACACTGGATATGTTGTGCTCACAGGAGTCCTGCTGGCTGCACGCCACCTGCTCTCCTGTGCCCAGGAGGGAGCCCCTCCAGCCTGCCAGCATGGAGGAACACAGCAGTCCTGAGGCTTCTCTATAGTCACCGGTCAATGGGTGACACTTGAAGGAGAGTGACCGGAGAAGCATTGCAGGTAGAGACATGGAGAGTGGATTCTTGGCAGAAGGCTTGCAGAGGAAGAGTACAGAATTAGCCACAGGCTTTGCAAGGCAAGGAATTTGGTGGAAATCAGGAAACTGGCATTAAACCAATTCTAATACACCCTATCCTTCTTGAACTAAGGGGGTTGGATCTTAACTGCAAAGGCCTTTGGGTGGCCCTGCCGAGAGTGAGGTTTGCGGTGTGGAGGGGGGCTCCCAGGGGCAATTCAGATCAATAAGCCTCCACCCTCACAGAGGGGCAGAGGGGCAGCTCGCGGGGCAGGGGGCACCAGCTCGGAGACCTGCGAACACAGACACCGGATTGAGAAGGGAGGAGAAGAGGCAACGCGTGCTCACAGCAGTGTTGAGAGAAGGGCCAGGTAGCAGGAGAGAGCCACGCCCAAGTGCCCACCCCTACACACGCGTGTGTGAATGGGAGGGGAAGAGCTCACTGGTTGAATTTAGGCCACAATATAGATAGGACTCTGGTCATGCTTTAACTTTGTGTTTTTGCAACTGCGTGGGCTTTTATGGATGTTTAGTGTTTTTTCTCCTCTCTTTTTTTATCCATTTATCTCCTCTCTCTCTCTCTCTCTCTCTCTCTCTCCATATATATATATATATATATATATATATATATATATACATACATATTTGGTATATGTGCAAAGGAAAATAAAAATTAGTCAGTGTTTTAATCTAAATAGTAACTTTTGTGAGTGTATCTGGGCGACCCTCACCACAACTCTGCATAGAGGATCCAAAGACAAATTAACAGCCTATTAACACGTTCCAACACCCTCACAGCCTACCTCAGTCTCCAATTGTACTTCCTCCCTCTGCACCCCTTTTCCCACACACATTCTGTCACACCCCTCAACACTAGCCCTTTACTCCAGCTTTAAAAATAATTGCACATGAATCTCATCCCGTCTGCTTTTATCTATAGATACTTCTTTCCTTCTCCTCTTATTGATTTACTCCCTTCTTTTCCCTGTCCCTCTTCCCTGCCTCTTCCCTGTCACAACCCAGTCTACCCGTTGGTGGTAAAAGTGTAGTCTAGTCTGTACGGGCACTGGCAAAAGGGTGTCGTTGTGTAAAAAGTGTTAATATCTATGCTTGATATGTGGTTGGAGCTGTCGATGTTGATATGACCAGCAGGGGGCGCTCTCTTTGCCACACGCAAGCAGGTCTAATCCTATGCTGAGTGGATCAGCGAGGCAGATCAATATCAAAACACAACCGAAGCAAAGACACTAACTAAAGAGATCTCCAAACGAGCCACAGAGTCTGGCATTCTAATTCATTCGCAGTCCTCAGCACAAACAAAACCCTAAAACAGCAACAATGACAAAAATAAGGGGGGGGGGGGTTTGGGGGGACAGAAGAAAGAAAGGGGAAAAAAGAGAAAACAGACATGCGAATAAAATAAATGCTGCTGAAAACTCCTAACCCCCAAAAGCTGCTTCTGTGGGCATCAAGGGGAAGGAGAGCAAAAGACAAAAGGCTGATTAAAAGAAGAAACAGGTGGGTAAGGTGTTAGATGATCTCAAAGATGCTGTAATGAAACAGAAAATGGACTTAATAAAAATGCTCAGTGATCTTAGAGAAGATACAAATAAAACCCTGCCTGAGCTAATCA